CGGTTCTCTTTTGAAGTTCTTTGAAGAGAACTTTGTGCTTAAATTTGTAAACACACCTTTTCTGGCTCAGCGACTCTCTTTTTTCTCCATTCGGATTCTCAGCGCCAGATGGGATACGTTTATAAATGAACATAAAGCACAAAAAAGATTTTGCTCTTTTGAAAATTAAATCTTTCTGGAATAAAAGCCAAAAGAAAATCGAAATTCAATCTATTAGAAGTAATGCGTTTACAAGCTTAAAGTACAGCTTAAAGTATAGCTTAAAGTACAACTTAAAGTACAGCTTAAAGTACAACTTGGTACAGCTTAAAGTACAGCTTAAAGTACAACTTAAAGTACAACTTAAAGTACAACTTAAAGTACAACTTAAAGTACAGCTTAAGGTACAGCTTAAAGTACAGCTCGAATTCATAAAGAAGTGATAGAAAATAGAAAATTCAAGGATTAAGAAGAAGAAAAGTAAAAAGAGCATCATCTGGACGGAAAAACGATGGCCTTCTATCATCTTGTGAGGGAAAAAAACTCAATTTACGTCTCTTTTTAGATGGAAAAGAGAAGAGTGCTTATGCATGTGTAAAAGAAGAAAAAAAAGCGGAAATATCCCGACAAAGCCCATTCTTGAGTGTTTTGCTGAGTATTGTCGTTCAAGTGGAGCATAAATTTCAAGTAAAGCATTTCACGTAAAGCATGAGCTTTAGAAAAGCACGAAAAAGCAATTAGCTGTTAAATAAAGTTGTTAGAATAGAAGTTGCTTGAAAAAAAAAGGAAAAGAAAAAAAGAGATCAAAAACAAAAACAAAAAAGCTGGATGGGGATCGAACCCCGACCCTGCGAGCGGGAGTCTTTTGCGTTATCCACTAGGCCACCAAGGTCCCTTAAATCGGCTAGAAAGAAGCTTTAAAGCATTTTGAAGCTTTCAATCCATCATTTTTCATCAAACATCATCAAACAAAAACAAAAGCTGGATAGGGATCGAACCCCGAGCCCGTGAGCGGGAGTCTTTCGCGTTATCCACTAGGCCACCAAGGCCTCTTGAACCGGCTAGAAAGAAGCCTTTTAAAGCATCTGTTTTGAAGCTTTCAAGTCAGCGCAATCCATCATTTTTCATCAAATATCATCAAGCAAAAACAAAAAAAAAAGGTGGATTGGGGGATCGAACCTTCATCCTGTGGGCAGGAGTCTTTTGTCTTATCCATTAGGCCATCAGGGTCTTTCCGCCGGTTTAGAAAGAAGCGTTTTAAAACATTTTGAAGCTTTCTAGTCAATCTCAATCCATAATTTTTCATCAAATATCATCAAACAAAATCATATTGATAGAAAAATGAAGTTTAAAATGTGCTATAAAAGGAGAGCTGCCAATTTTTGATGCAGAAAATGGATGTTATCAAAAAAGTACACCAAAAAGAACCATCGTTATGAATTGTCTAGAACAAACAATCAAAATCTGAGTATTTGTAGTCTTTTTAAGGCTTTGAAGTTAGACAATTATAATTTTGCGACAAATTTTCGCGAAAATTACCCTCAAAATTGCTCAAGTGAGTGTCGATTTGCGTGCGAAACATCCATTTATCGCTTCTTTCTTTTCATTTTCTTCTTTTCTCGACTCGAATTCCATTGGGCCGTTCTGTTTGTTTCATTCAAAGAGGGAATTAGGCGGAAAATTGCATAAATTGGGGCTCTTTGTGGAATTGGAAACAAATTGAGAATAAGATTGAAGAGAACAAGTTGAGAACAAGTACAAGTTGAGAACAAGGTCCATAACTATAAAGAAATCAGCTTTTAAGAATATTCGTATCATTCTGAGCAAAAAAGCTTTCTGCTAATTTTCCGACAGTTTGACTCCATTTAAGTTTTTCTTTTTTTTGAGCAGCTTTTTTATAGTGTTTTTTAAGCTTTCTTCTCTTTTTAATTGCTAAATATTTAAAATTTAAATCTTTCTATTTAAGTATTCAACAAAATAATATAAATATCATAACAAACATGAAAACAATCGATGAAATGAGTAAAACAGTCCGTGATTTTCTTGATGCTCCCTAAAATACCATTCTTATACGATACTTTTGACAAACGGTCACAATGTTGTAAAATTTCTCGAAGATTTTCTTGGGCTCTATTGGAACCAGTTATCCTCAGAGCTTTTCAGGTGTTCGCAGATGCACAAATGTCTGTCTCAGCCCCTTTTCCCGTTGATGATCTTGATAATTGTCTTAAAAACAGCAAAACTGCATGGCTACCCGTCAAGTTGCTCGGATCAATTTGGCAAGAAAAGGCAAATATACAGATCATTCTCACAAGGGAATGGTCGATCGTCCGGTCGAACTGGCCGGACGATTTCTCGGTGAAGATGTAAACATGGAGAACACGATACTATGTTTATTTTGCCTATTCTCAATGGTTCACAAGAACCTCTACACCTTACCTTTACACCAAGGAAGTCAAGGAAAGGAAGAGAAGGGAAAGATTCTAGTCAAGGAAGGGAAGGGAAAGATTCCAGTCAAGGAAGGAAGGGGAAAGATTCCAGTCAAGGAAAGGAAGGGGGAAGATTCCAGTCAAGGAAAGGAAGAGAAAGAACCCATCTATCCCCGAGGTTCGATTCCCGATTAGGCGCCCAAACTTTGCAAGCGTTTTTCTTAAAACTTTTCTTTTTGAGACGTTTTTCCTGAAAAAAGTTTGAAGGAATCTTCGACTTTCTGAAGAATCTTCCCCCCTTCCTTCCTTGACCGGACTCTTTCCCTTCCCCACACAATGACCCCTTTCCGCCGATTAAATTCCCGAGGTGTGCCAGAAAACTGGGCAAACGATTTCGCGGTGCCGCTGAGATGCAAACGCTTATCGAACATGTGACAGTCTCGAGCTGGAATTTCTAGTCTGGTTTTCACCCACGCGGCCCGGGTTCGATTCCCGGCATAGGAAAAACGTTTTTTGTTTTTTCGTTAAAATTTGCATAAAATCGTCCTGAATCTTTTAAAATCTTTTAATTAATCACAAATTAGCCTATTCGTTGCTAAATTGATGCTTATTCATTGCTAAATTAGGCTATTCATTTTTATAAATTAGCGTGTTCATTTCTAAATTAGCCTATTAAGTCCTAAATTAGTCTATTAAGTTCTAAATTGGTATATTAAGTCTTAAATTAGCCTATTAAGTTCCAAGTTAGCCTATTCATTTCTAAATTAGGATATTAATATCGAATTTTTACAGGTCAATCGATGGTCAAAATCTATCAGGCCAACGATTTTGCGGTACCGCTGAGATGCAAACGCTTATCGAACATGTGAAAGTCTCGAGCTGGAATTTCTAGTCTAGAGCTACTTATCTCGAACTTCTCAAAACTCGTTTTTTTAGCTCAAAGGGATTGTCAAGAGTTGAAATACTAGGCTATCATTACTAGAATTACTTTAGTAACATTATTATTGCACGCTATTTCATGGATAACAAGAACTTTGTTCAGTTACCGTACTCTTTTCACGAAGCGGTTACGTCACGTCAGCTCGGCTTGTAAAGCAGTACTCATAATGAGAAAGAGAAAGAGGAAGAGAAAGAGGGGAGAGAAAGAGAAAGGAGAGAGAAGGAGAAGATAAAGAGGAAGAGAAAAGAGAAAGAGCAAAGAGATCGTCTTTCGAATGTGTCATCCCTTTTCCCACCAAAGCCCTCCTCGTTAACCTTCCTAATATTTCTCTTTACACCCTGCAGTCAGTATGCCGATCCACTTGTCAGCGAACGTTTAGCAACTCACCAATCTATCGATTTTACTCTTTTACTAAGCTCAATTTTATGTAAAATTTTTCGATTTTATCACAAATAAGTTTTGAAACTGTCTATTCACTAAAAACTCTAAATTCTAATCAAAAACGGTTTTGAAACTGGCACCTTATTCAATTAAAAACCTCCAAATTCTTTCTCAAAAAACAGTTTTAAAACTGTCAATTCAATAAAAATTTCGAAATTTTCAATAATCGGCTTGGTTTTTGGGAAGTTTTTGGAGAATTTCATCATGAAAATCAAAATATTTGCCTAAATTTTCGATTCCAAACGGTTTAAATACTCAATTTACGTAGAGAATAATCATTTTGAGCTTTATCATTTTCACTTTTTCATGCTTTAAACCTTTTGAACTTCATGTGATAAGATAATTGTTTTTAAACTTTTCAGTGTTTTTTTCAATTTAAATCTTTAATTCTGTACCGGTTTTTTTATTCCAGAAATAACTTCAAAACAATTCTTCAAAATGTCTGAATCAAAAGTGAATATGTCGCCTTTGATGAAGCTACCAAATTCTAATAAAAAAGAGAGGCAAAAATTCGTAAAAGAGGAACGAGAGGCGCGGGAATGAGAAGGGGCAAAGTGGTAAGCGATAAATGAATTCAATTGTCATATTCTTGAACGAGATAAAGCTCAATATGTCAACTTGATCTTGGTCTAAACATAGAAAGACAGAAATCAGCTAGTCAGTTAATCAGCTACTATGTAGCCAGCTAATAAGGTAACCAGCTAATCAGCTAATCAGCTAATCAGCTAATCAGTTAAACTTTGAGCTTAAACTTGTTCATCCCTTGAAAGCAACCTGTTTTCACCCCTTGATCCGGGCCTGTTTAGCCCTTCCAGATCTAAGCTTGTCTATCCCTTGAGCCACTCCTAATATCTTGAGCTAAACTCTGTGGTCCACTTTTGAGCTTCAAACTTGTTTAACTCCTAAGATTTATACTGAGAAACACTCTTAGCCCGGAATCTTTACAAATTTTTGACTGTTCTCACCTTTCCTTTGACTTCCTTTGACTTTCTCGGTCAGTTTCCCATTGGATTCAAACTTTTCAGTTTCATGGCGCACGAGGTGGTCGTGGAAATGTTGGGATGACTCGTGGAATTCCTTCTAGAGGTGTTGCTCCGCGTGGAGCTTTCAATCGTCAGCGACGTTCAGCTCCCGCAGCGTGCCGGCAGTCGAATGAACCTTAACTCAATCCGGGGGAAATATCAACGCCGGAGCACCACAAAATCGCGAAAATGTTGAACCTTATGGTTAAGGTAAGATTTAAACGGTTTTATTGCAAGAAAATAAAGGATAGAAAATGAGCTTTTGAGAGATATCTTTAGATAACTTTTCCTTCACTTTCAAACCAAGAACTTCAATTATAAAAGTTTCAAAAGACTTGTTCTGAGTTTTTTCTTTAGAATTTAATGAAATTAAGCGCTAAACCTGAGAAAAACATTGGTTATATGCTTTAGAAATCTTGTAAAAGTTAGCTGAACAAGTTAGCTTTTTAGATAATTAAAAGAAATACTTTTAAGCTGGTTTTTAACCGAAGATATGGCTTTTTTCTCATCCAATTTTATGCGCTAATCTAGAATATCTTGTTTTTAGGTGAAATTCACAAGATTTTCACCTCCTACACAGAATTTAAGCAACACTAAACACTAAAACAAAAAAAAAAGTCTGCAACCGGATTTGAACCAGTGAGGCGAAGAACTAAAAACGAGCTAACTAACCAGTAGGCCATGCGCTCAAGTCTTGAGAACAGCGCAAAAGCAATTTAACTATCCATAGTCGACTATCCATGACGATTTGTTGACCATGACGATTTTTTGACGATGACGACTATAAATGTTTGAGAATTCTGTGTAAACTTTGACGTTGAAGATCTTGCGAATTTTAACATGTCAGTCCCAAACCATTTAGATATTCGGAAACAGCGCAAAAAACTATTTTTAGAACTATTTAGATAAGAACTATTTTTAGGCTCAAAAGCTAGGTGTAAATTGAAAAGCTGTAAATCTCTAGTAAGAGATCAAAAACTAACCGATTTTGATCCATTTTGATGCCATTTTGATTACAACTTACCGGAATTGACTCAAATTTGATTAGAATTTGATTAATGCAAGTTTGCTGATAAAGATTGATAAAGATAAAGATCTTTCACTCGAGCTAAAGATAAAGATCTCTAACTGGCTTAATGATAAAAGATTACTAACTGACTTAATAATAAACGTTAATGATTATCTGGCTTAAAGATAAAGCTCTTTAACATGATGTTGAAGATAAGGATCTTTAACTGAGCTAAAGATAAAGATCTTTATTTGACTTAAAGATCAAGATCTTTGTCTGACTTGAAGTCAAAGATCTTTTATCTGACTTAAAGATAAAGACTCTTATCTAACTTGCAAACCATTCATTTATCAAGATCTTTATCTGTTTTGATAACTGTTTATTTATAAAAATCTTTTTAGAGAGCCGTGAAGAGAGCTTTGGCAACGACAAGTCGTCCACGTCAAGGCGCATTGAACGGTGGAGGGAATTTTGGCTCGTCGAGTACGTTGTTGTCACTTCACAGCCATTCCACTGAATTTGGCTTTGTGCCCAGTTTTCGACTGAGAAATGAGAGAAATTTCAAAATTTGAAATTGAATCGAAAGATGAGAAAGTTTATTCGATGAAGAGAAGCTTTGGATTTTGAAGAAATGGAGAATTAGTCCCATCTGTCCGTCAATTCCATCAATTCCATCAATTCCAGAGTTTCAGCTCAAAATCGATCAAGATCAAAATCGTTTAAAATCGATTTCTAAAGAATATTGAAAGAAGAAGAGAAGGAAATGAAGATTTTGGATTTAAAATGCCTGTCCAGGGACTGGGAAAAATGAGTCAAGGCTTTTAATGGAAATGATCTAATGAATCAAGGACTAGAAAGCTTTCAAAAAACGATTCAAGCTACAGTTTCATCTATACGATGAAATCTAGTCATCAAATGAAGTCTAATAGAAAATCTCTGCTAAATCTAGTCACTGAAAGCTTTGTCTAATCAGCTACCCAGAGATGGAGCCTTTCAACGACTTTGGCTTACCCAATCGTTACCTCGAAAAGCTTCTCAAGACGATGAAGTTGAATTTTGACTTTCAGCTGACTCTGAGCTGACACTGAGCTATCTCAGCTGACTCTTGAGCTCTCTCAGCTGACTCTGAGCTGACTCTGAGCTCTCTCAGCTGACTCTAAGCTGACTCTGAGCTCTCTCAGCTTACACTGAGGCTCTCTCAGCTGACTCTAAGCTGACTCTGAGCTCTCTCAGCTTACACTGAGCTCTCTCCAACTCACTCTAGCTGACTCTGAGCTCTCTCAGCTGACACTAAGCTCTCTCAGCTGACTCTGAGCTGACTCTGAGCTCTCTCAGCTGACACTGAGCTCTCTCAGCTGACACTGAGCTCTCTCAGCTGACTCTGAGCTGACACTGAGCTCTTATTTGAGTTTTGACTCAATTCTAGCATACTGATCACTTCTAACTAGATGACTAAAGAAGTTCAAAAGACTTGATTTAACAACTTGTTTTTTGGAGAAGACTTAGTTTGACTCTGAAGAAGACTCTGAGCTTTGCAATTGAAAGTAGAGACGGAGCTTTTCAACAATTCGATGTCAATTGTATGTCAATTGATGACAATTCGATAACAATTGCTGACAATTCGATGTCAATTCTTAATCAAAACATCATCAAGGCGATGAAGTCTCTTAATTTGCTTCAATTTTGCTCAATTTTGACATTTTAAACTCTACTCAAACAGCTCGAGTTTATTTCTTCGGATTGAGCTTTAGAATAAGTTGAAAGCTTTAATTGAGAAGCTTCAATTGAGAGCTGTCAAAAACTTGTCAATCAACTTTGGCTTACCCTAGGCCAAAGTTAAAGCCAAAGCCAATCGTTATCTAGCAAAAAGTCAAGTGAAACGAGAAAACCAATAGACAAAGACAAAGCTCTTAGTCTATTGATTTAATTGGTTCAACTCCAATTTCAAATAATAACACAGGAATTCTCTATTCAAATGGATTCTATTGAAGCAAAAGATTCTAAATTTGAATTTTACTGGGAGCCTGAGCCTGAGCCTGAGCCTGAGCCTGAGCCTGAGCCAAGTAGTTTCAAGCCTCTAGAAGTTGATACTTTTCTCAAGCTCGAGAATCCCAAGCTCGAGCTTGAGTTCTCTTCGCAACTCCAAAATGAGCTCTAGTTCTGTCCTATATTCTACTTCAGATCGGTAAGAAACGATCGAAAAAGAATGCAAATTCTTTTTCAATCTCTAGGCTAGATTTGGCTTTTAGGGATTAGTGCGTAAAGCGGTTGGTGGTGGAATTCTTCGCCGCGTCGGTGGACGGGGAGCTTTCGTTGGCGCTGCTGGACTCAACCGTGTTCAACCACAATCGCGTGTCATTCAACGAAGAGTCGCTCCACAACATCTCATTGTTCAAGTGAGTTAATTCATCATGTATTTCACAGAATACTAGGTAATTTGATAGCAGATTTGACTGTCAGACTGACTAGAAACAGTACCGCCCAAAAAATGTCACCTCTCGAATTTTACCTCGACTTTAAAGCGCCGTAACTTGTGAATTATCCACTGCTCCTTATTAGTGTTATAGTGATTCTGAAAGCTTGAAATGTGCTCTTTAAGTTGGTATATTTGTCTTTTAGTTTACTTTAGTTTTTGACCGATTTCAGGGCAAGCAAGGAAAGGTGTGAATTTCCGCTCAACCTCAACTTTAAAGCGCTGTAACTTGTGAATTATCTACTGCTTCATATTAGTGTTATAGTGATTCTGAAAGCTTGAAATGTGCTCTTTAAGATAGCATACTTGTTTTTTAGTTTACTTTAGTTTTTGACCGATTTCAGGGCAAGCAAGAAAAGGTGTGAATTTCTGTGAATTTTTCAAAGCGTTTCTGGCGTTTTTCGTGCTGATAGAGGACTCAAATCGTTTTAAAATCATATTTTTTGAATTCTACAGCCTAAATTAGGCTTATACTGTCACTTTTCAATAGCTTTTCGCCTTTCTATAGTTAAAGAAAACATCAACTTTCCAAACGCGTCGTTTTTCGTTTATTTTCTGTGCTTGGAAAAATGGAAAGAGAAGGAAATGAAGATTTTGACTTTACTTGTCTGTTCTAGGACTGGAAAAATGAGTCAAAGCCTTTAATGAAATGATCTTTATTGATTAATATGTATTAGTAATGAATTAGTAATGAATTAGTAATGAATTAGTAATGTAACTGCAAAGGTAGCACTATATTCTGATCGCTTGTACATTACTGGATAATAAACTTGACAATGAGCCCAGTTTTCAAGTATTATATCACTAGCACAATCCTATCCTATTCAAGAATATTGTAAAAAGATCACTGAACAACAATTTTATAAAGTTATCCAATATTATCTTTTCTTTTCAGAGATCTCCGATGGTTGCTCGTCGCTTTCAGAGAATCGCCAGCCCAGATGTGATGTAAGTTTTAAAATCAAGTACTTTAAGTACCACAAAGCACAATTCAATCACATAGAAACTAATAAAATATGAAGAATATTGAAAGAAGAAAAGGAAATGAAGATTTTGGCTTTACTTGTTTGTTCTAGGACTGGAAAATGAGTCAAAGCCTTTAATGAAATGATCTAATGAATGAAATTATCCCTTTGACTAGAAAGCTTTCAAAAAACGATTCAAATCTACAGATTTATACAATGAAATCTAGTCATCAATATTTCAGGAACCGTCCGATGGTGGTCCGTCAGCAAACATTCCCAGCTCGTGCTCGCCCACAAGCACAAACAGTGGTCGTCCGTCGAATCGTTCAAGCTCCACCCCAACGAGTGCAGAGGACGATTGTTCAACGGACCATTGTAAGCTTATTTTAACTCTAAGATGCTCTAAGAACTCTAAGAACTCTAAGATCTAAGATATTCTAAGACTCTAAGACACTCTAAGACACTCTAAGACACTATAAGAACTAAGATCTAAGATACTCTAAGATCCAAGATACTCTAAGATACTCTAAGATAAATAATTTTTTTTCTAGAACCCTAAGAAATAAAATATAATAAAAATACTAAGAACTAACTAAGAAAAAAAAAGAACTCTACTCTAGATGTTTCCCTGACGGACTACCAACTTGTTTACTAAAAAGTTTTAGTCTCGTCAGCCTCAACGTCAACAAATTGTTGAAAGAGTGATCCCGCGAGTTCGCCAACAGCAAGTCATTCGTAGACCCGTGCAGCAACAGGTGAAACATTTGTCAGAATTGTTTTAAAACCTCTTCAAGTTCTCTTCAAAGTTGTTATTGATTTAATTGAATATTCAGGTTGTCAGAGTGCAACGAGTCATCCAGCGCCCCCAACAACAGATCCAATACGTGCAACAGCGCCAACGTGGAGGAAATCGTGGAGGAGTTCGCCGTTTACAGAACAGAGTTCAAATGGAAAGAGTAAGTTCAATTGTCTTGTTTAGATTGTTGTAAGGTTGATTGTTAAATTGGAAAGATTTGTTTTTAAATCAACAATAATCCAGCCCAAAGCCAAAACAGGATATAAAGGGACTAAGACGTCTGTCTGTCGGTCTGTCTGTCCGTCCGTCTGTCCGTCCGTCTGTCCGTCTGTCTGTCCGTCTGTCTGTCTGTGCCCCCAGAGGACCGTTTGCAACGATTTTTGCGCCGTTGCATAGGGAATTAAATGTAGTTGTGCAATGTAGTTTGGATGTTTTAAAAAGCAAAATTGGAGTCGTATCCGCGGGTCGAACCCGGATCGTATGGGCTGTCTGTCTGTCTGTCTGTCTGTTCGTCTGTCTGCCTGTCCGTCTGTCTGCTTGCCTGCCTGCCTGGCTGTCCGTCAGCCTGTCCGTCTGTCTGTCTGCCTGTCTGTCTGTCTGTCTCATCTGTCTGTATGTCTATCTGTCTGTCTGTCTATCTGTCCGTCTGTCCGCTGCCCGCCTGTCTGTCCGCTGTCTGTCTGTCTTCTGTCTGTCTGTCTATCTGTCTGTCTGTCTATCTGTCTGTCTGTCTCTATCTGTCTGTCTGTCTATCTGTCTGTCTGTCAATCTGTCTGTCTATCTGTCTGTCTGTCTATCTGTCTGTCTGTCTATCTGTCTCTCTGTCTGCTCTGTCTCTGTCTGTCTGTCTGTCTGTCTGTCTGTCTGTCTGTCTGTCTGTCTGTCTGTCTGTCTGTCTGTCTGTCTGTGCGCACTCCTCTGCGCCCAGTAGACTGTTTCAAATGATTTTTAATTAGTTTGGCTTAGAATTTCATGTAGCTATGCAACATATTTTTTGAAACCAAAAGTGCCGACGCGGACGGGAGTCGAACCCGGATCATGTGGGCTAGAGACATTCAGAAAACTAACATTAGTAACAAGTAACAAGTGCGCTCGCATTGCTCATCACGTCAATTGGTTAACTGCCATCACGTGGCAGTTAACCAATTGCGCCTTCGCACTGCCATCACGTGGTCAATTGGTTAACGCGTGTGTCTTACAAACGAACGAAAAAGAGGTGGCGGGTTCGCCTCCTCCAAATCTTTTGCTTTTTGCTGCGAAACTTCTGATAATAATGATAAAGTAATTAAGGAAATGAATTTTGATATTACCGGGACTATTAAACGGCTTTTGAAATGAATAAATTTTCAGGTGAATCCCCGTTTCGAGTATGAAAACTCTCCGCGGATCATCGTTCGTCATAGACGCGGTTTCCAGAACTATTAAACTTTATGTTCTAAATCTTCGACTTTGACTTTGACTTTCCAAGATCTCTGAAAAGTTTAGCTTTGTATTTTTATCGTTAAAATCTTTTTAGTCCTTCATTTTATCCATTCCTAAAGTTAAAAACTAAGAGTTCTTTGGTTGTCTTCGAATTTTCTTCTTTTCCTTTTTATCATTTTGCCATTTATTTGTTAAAAACTTCCTAGTACTTTATGCTCTCCTAAACGCACATTTTCTAGCACACTAAAGCTTTGAATTTCTTGATCTAGTATGCCAAAAAATGTACGTTTCTCAAGGTACAAAGTACTCATCAATGATGGTTACTTTGTACCTTGAGAATTACTTTTTTATTTACTTTTTAAAGTGCTTTATGTTCCGAGTAGTTTTGTAAAAATTTATTGGCGTTTTTAACTTTCTAATCTATCCATTTCAATAAACATCTAAAATCTATAAATCTTCTAAAATTGCACTTTCAGTTGGACACTCGTGAATCAATTGAACTGGCTTCAAAATTGAGCAAATCATCGGGATCAGACTCGTCAAGAAAAAGATTGATGCATAAATGAGGAACTGAAAATCGATTAAGATTATCATTTAGAGTAAAACTCTTTATAGAAACTTTTTCAAGATAACTAAATAATAGACTAACTAATAAAGATCACTAAATCTGGAACTTAGTCAAAATAGCACCATTCAAAATAGCGCCGCCAAAACGGCCCCATTCAGAGCAGCGGCCAAAACAGCGCCATTCAAAATCGCGCCGCAAAAACCACGCCATTCAAAATAGCCCCGTTCAAAATAGCGCCGCCAAAACAGCACCATTCAAAACAGCGCCGCCAAAACGACCCCACTCAGAACAGCGGCCAAAGCAGCGCCATTCAGAACAGCGCCATTCAGAATAGCGCCATTTAGAACAGCGCCATTCAGAACAGCCCCACTCAGAACAGCGCCATTCAGAAAAGCGCCATTTAGAACAGCGCCATTTAGAACAGCGCCGCCAAAACAGCGCTATTCAGAACAGCGCCATTCAGAACAGCGCCATTCAGAACAGAGCCATTCAGAACAGCGCCATTCAGAACAGCGCCATTCAGAACAGCGCCATTCAGAACAGCGCCATTTAGAACAGCGCCATTTAGAACAGCGCCATTTAGAACAGCGCCATTTAGAACAGCGCCATTTAGAACAGCGCCATTTAGAACAGCGCCATTTAGAACAGCGCCATTTAGAACAGCGCCATTTAGAACAGCGCCATTTAGAACAGCGCCATTTAGAACAGCGCCATTTAGAACAGCGCCATTTAGAACAGCGCCATTCAGAACAGCGCCATTCAGAACAGCGCCATTCAGAACAGCGCCATTCAGAACAGCAATTTATCATTTTGCAACGCTAAATTCTAAATGCTAAATGCTAGATACTAAAAGAATGCTAAATTTAGCAAAATTGAGTTTTATTTCTTGTAAACTGAACATTCTGATGCTGCCACATAAAGCATTATTCAGTCAGTAAAAAATTAAACATCGTTTGGCGTTAAATCTTGCTAAATGCGTGTTGAATTTTGCAAAACGAAAGTTTAATAAGCAAAACTCGTTTAATTTATTTGGTAAACCCAAAAATTTTGCTAGATTTAACAGTTGATGGACCCGTTTAAGCCCAAGCAAAACCTTGCCAAGCCAGCTCAGCTAGATCAGCTCAGCTCAGCTAGATCAGCTCAGCTCAGCTAGATCAGCTCACCCCCACTCCCTCTAGATCAGCTCAGCTCAGCCACATCCTGGGCTTTGTTTGCTTTGTTTTAGTATTTGGATTAGCTAAAGTTCTAGCTTGGCTTCTAGCTTGGCTTTATTTGTTTGATCGTTTTTTAAAAAGGATTTGAAATTAGGCAATCAAAAAAAGTCTAATTAACTACGATAACTTTTTCGGATACTTTTAGAAAACGCAAAAATGAATATAGCCTAACTAATCAGCTCTAACGAGGCTACTACTGCATTGCTAATAGACTTTCTTAATCAAAATGAAATACAATACCTGTTGTGCATTTAAGCTCGAAATAGTTTTTGTCAACAACGGTGAAAGTGATCACAGTTTGAATGATTAAGGCAAAAAGCGAGTTCGCTCCAAAAACGAAGCTATAAGCGCTTTTCTCAAGTTGGCTAGCGATTATTGTACTGAAATGTTTTTATGAGAAAACTTGAAACAATTGATCAATCAAACCTGGAAATTGGGCTAAGCGCGTGGTAAATAAAGACAGCCATTACATACATCCCGTAAGCAATCCATAAAGAAGACGTTAAGCTCAGCACAATTGTTACAACTCCAAGAATTGAGGCGGAACTGAAGAGAAAGAAATCACCGAGACGGGATGAGCCGTCGAGCTTCACAAATTGCACGCCGAAAGAGATTACAGCTCCTGGAATTTGGTTCTAGAAGGACTGTAAAGTATCAAAGATTCTAAACGTTTCTAAACTTGTTTAACCCTGGACGAGTGGCTAGCAATGTTACTTTGATCGAGTGGCTAACAGTCTTACTTTTAACCGAGTGGCTAACAGTCTTACTTTGGACGAGTGGCTAACATTTTATGATTTTATGTTAGCCTTTCTACTGCATTCAATTCAAATTGATTCCGAAATTAATCTAGACAAAAGAAACTCACCTAAAGCCGTGTTGATGAACTCAATTAACCCATTCTCAGCTTTCGAAACCGAATCGATCTCAATCCAGAGCGGTTGAATGTAGTTATAAATCTAAAGCCTTCATAGAGAAGAAGAAGAAGAAGAAGAAGAAGAAGAAGAAGAAGAAAAGAAGAGGAAGAAGAAGAAGAAGAAGAAGAAGAAGAAGAAGAAGAAGGAAGAAGAAGGGAGAAGAAGAGGAGGAAGAAGAAGAGAAGAAGGAGGAGAAGAAGAGGAGGAAGAGAAGAGGAGGAGGGAGAAGAAGAAGAGAAGAAGGGGGAGGAAGAGGGAGAGGAAGAAGAAGAAGAAGAAGAAGAAGGAGAGAGGAGGAGGAGAGGGAGAGGGGAGAGAGAAAAGAGAGAGAAGGAGAGAGAGGAAGAAAAGAAGAAGAGGAGAAAAGAGAAGGAAGAAGAAGAAGAGGAAGAAGAGGAAGAAGAAGAAGAAGAAGAAGAAGAAGAAGAAGAAGGAAGGAGAAGAAAGAAGAAGAGAGAGGAAGAAGAAGAAGAGGAAGAAGAGGAGGGAAGAAGAAGAAGAAGAAGAAGAAGAAGAAGAAGAAGAAGAGGAGGAGGAGGAAGAGGAAGAAGAGGAAGAAGAAGAAGAAGGAGAAGAGGAAGAAGGAAGATCTCACTTTGATACATAGCACAACTAATCAAAAGCGTAGAGAGAGACCACTTCCAGGACCAAAGCGTTCTCCTTGTAGATCAAAAATCTCCCTCGCATTGTCGATAGATAAGTTGAAGAAGCAGATTTTCTTTTTTTCGATCATATCTAAATCTGTAAATTTATGAAAAATGGGAATTTGAGACGTTGTTTTTGGTTGAGCTTCTTCAACATTTTGAACAACATCCGGTCGACTTTTCGGCACAGTCGGAAGAGTTAAAGCAACGAAAAGAGCAATGATTGTGGCGATGAAAGTGATCTGAAGTGATCTGAAAGTGATCTGAAAGGATCTGGAAAAGTGAAATTTCCCACACGCTTTCAAGGTCTATAAATTTCTCTACAAATAATGTCATTCTTAACTTTTGTTCTCGTTTTAATAGAGGACAATTCAGGGTTTCAAAGTGACAGGAAAAAGAAGTTGATTGAACTAATGAATCCTAAGAAAATCAAGAGCCAAAACTTACAAGCCTTTTCTCTTAATTTAGCTGCTTAACCAAAAAAAAAAGCTTAACTGAATCCAGAAACTGATTTTAAACCTTTTTTGTTTAAAATTCATGAAGATTTGAATTCCCAATCCTTGAAAACCTTTAAATAGAGCTTTTTAATAGAGGTTTTAAGCTCTAAATCTTATTTGAAAGCTATATAAGACGTGCTATGCTCAAATTTTTAAGCAAATTTTAGCTTTAGACTTGCTTTTTCTTTTAGTAGCATTTATAGCAAATCTAATAGCATTTGTAGCAAATCTAGTATCATTTGAAAGCTTGAAATATTCTCATTAATACTATTGTATTTGTAAAATGTTTAAAAACATGATTTCTAGTTAAGAGCTCACCTGATTAAGCAACAAATACGGTGCATCGAGCCAAGAAACCAGAAATTGTGCCAAAGCAAAAGCGAAAAGTTTCCCGATAAGCACTGAGGTTTTCGTCCACGAGGTGACTCGGCGATATTGTTTTACATCAACGACAGCAAAGAGATATGAAGAGAAAGCGATCTCTCGGCAGCTGATGCCAAACCTGAACTGTGCTTGATGTAAAAGAAATTACGCTTGGTGTAAAAGGTTCTATTCTTTAAGCTAGAAATCATATTTTTTTTTTCTTCTTTTGTATATTTGTACTCTTATATATGTCGTAGTGAAAATTACGAAATCCAGCCGCTAATGGAATGAGGGTATTTCCGGGCATCCAATCAAAAGTCGCCCACATAAAAATGTTCATAATACATATATTTTATAATAAATTTTTGAAATTAGCTTATTTGGTTCAGTAGAAAATTTTTTTGAGCCCCAAAGTTTGGTTTCCAAATGGCTATAAAATTTTTCTACTCAGCTAAAAAACTTGCCCTGATAGCTTATTTTTGTAGCCAATTTGATGTAGATTCTTAAAGTAAAGCTACATTGAGCATTTGATTCAAAGCTAGGAGAAAGAGGGCGAGGAACGACTTCAGTTGAACTCCGGTCGCTGTTTTCTACATTTGAGAATTGCGCTGAATTTGTTCCTCGCCCTCTTTCTCCTACTTTCAACGAAAAAGTGTTTTAGATGGTTTTACTTTAAGAATCTACATCAATTGGCTACAAAATGAGCTAATAGCTTTTTGGCTGAGTAGAAAAATTTTTTATAGCCATTTTAGGGCATTTTTGAACCTAAACTTTGGGGGCTCAAAAGATTTTCTACTCAACGAAATGAGCTAATTTCCAAAAATTTATTATAAAATATATGTATTATGAACATTTTTTATGTGGATAACTTTTTGATTGGATGCCCGGAAATACCCTCATTCGTTAGCGGCTGAATTTCCGTAAACGGTTACGACATATATTAGGTTGATGCATAAGTCTTTCGTTTTTTTTTTCGTACTTCTGTTAAAAAGTAACAAATTCACCAATTAATCTATAGTTTGCTCTATAAAAAAGTGTTTTTTGTTCAATTTGCATCTTTTTAAATGAATTTCGGTTCACTTTCAAGCAAATTCAGAGTGAAAAAAGCCTTTTGTCGTAAAAATCTATAAAAACTCTACGGAAAAATTGGCTGAATGAATTTCTCTGAAATTTTGGCGAAATATCAAACGTTTTTTTTCTCTATCTTTTATCTATTGACACGAAGATAGGTTTTCTTTAGCTAAGGTGTCTAAACCGCATCTAAACCGCATCGAGTTAGCCCTTTTTGACTACCCGACTTCATACTCTCAAGAAAATCCAGGCATTAAATATTTTTAAACCCGTTTTAATGTTATTTTGCAGAAAAATAATTGGTTTTTCTAATGAAATCAACCGTAGTTTAATTGGTGCATTTGTTGGCTTGAAACGGCAGACGAAAAGGAACAAAAACACTTATGCATCAACCTATTATATAGATGTCGTAACCATTTACGAAATTCACGAAATTCATTAACGACTAGCCGTTTACGGATGAAAGTTTTCGCTAGCCGTTTACGAATGATTCGTAATCGGCTAGCCGCTAACGAATTTGTTTGTTATAAACGTTATTATGTTTATACATGTTAAATGTTATAAATTTTATTTCACTTGTTGTGATTAGTTGATTGGTTTGCGTTTTGCATAAATAGCTTGAAATCAAAAGCTTATTTGAATCGAGCCATGTTCGCAGAAGGCGATTACAAATTGTACACGGCTAGCGAAAAGATTTTATTCGTAATCGGCCAGCCGTTAACAAATGATTCGTAATCGGCTAGCCGTTAACGAATCGTTAGCGGCTGAATTTCGTAAACGGTTACGACATATATATATATAGGTGTCGTAACCATTTACGAAATTCAGCTAACGAACTCACTTAAGCGAAAATTTCATTCGTTAGTTGAATTTCGTAAATGGCTACGACATCTATATATACCGTAAACCCTAAAAGAAAAAAATCCATAACAAAAAAAACCAAAAAGAAACCCCCCCCAAATCCCCATTTTAAAAGTTTTTTTAATTATTTTAAATTTGGGTTACATTTTTGCCCCTTTTTTTTTTTTTCCACAACCTTAAAGTTTACTATTTTAAAAAATTATTTTTTTATTTAATTCCCCTTTTCCATTTTTTAATTTTTTTAAGTTTCTAAAAAAGAAAATTTTTTCCTTTTTGTTTTTTTTTTTTATTTTTTTTTTTTTTATTTTTTTTTTTTTTTTGTGGGGCCTTTTCCCACTTTTTCCCCCCCAATTTTGAAAATAAATAACCCTTTTTATTTTTTACCGTTTACGAAATATCAGCCGCTAACGAATGATTCGTTAACGGCTAGCCGATTACGAATCATTCGTTAGCGGCTGAATTTCTTAAACGGTTACGACATATTTTACTCTTATTTTTACGCTTTTTCTAAGTCAAAGCTTTCACTTTTTTAATTGATATTTTCTTTAGATCATGGTGGATCAAATGTATGTTGTGCGTGTCTTCTCTACGATTTCAAAATGGGCAAAAACGCTACCGAATCACATGGTTTTGGAGATTTTGATTCACTTCGATAACACTTCGATAAAACTTCTCGCAAAAAGACAATGGCTCAGCGAGGGTCAAATGCCAATTTCAACTCCAAAGCCAGATTATCATGGGCACAAAGTGATGTTGTCTTGCTGGTGGAATACTTCAAATGGATGTTGTGTGCGTGTGTCTTCTCTATGATTTCAAGATCAGCAGAACGCTCCCGAATCACATTTTGATCTCTATTCCGCTTTTTGAGAACAAGTTTTGAAAAAGAAATCGTCTGGACGAAAGAATGGCCAAGAAAACGAAGGTGGAATTGAGTTCGGATTGGAATTTTCTTATGTCTAGTCGATACGAATCCTAGTTGATAAGAATCGATGTCCTAGTCGATAAGAATCAATCGAAGTCTCCAGTTAAACTCTAAGCCTGTAGTGTTATTGTAGACCAACCAAAGACGATTTGCATCAATTGCATGAGTTGAACGCCTTGAGCCCAAACGAGAAGCGCCCACGTGAGACAGAGACCGATCGCTTCAACGATCACAAGCGGTTTGTAGCGGAGAAGATCAGTGAGAGCCAGGATTGGAATCTGAAATGGTTGAATGATTAGAAGCTCTTCAGTAGTTTGGATTTAGCTTTGATTGATTGTTGTGCTGATTATTGAGCTTTGTGTTGAGTATTTTTTGCTTATTCAAACAAACAAACCAGGCAAATCAAATACGAATACGTCCAGAATGGATAAATGTCACTGTAAACTGTCTCAATGCTGAGATTTTTTGCGTCAGAAACGAGAAACGGAGTTAGAAACGGGGTGGCCGGACGGAATTCCTGAAATTGACCAATCGTGATGCTTGTGCTGCTTTCAATGATTCTTTTGGTATAAAGTTTCCAAAAAATCTTCTAAATTAAGGGATTTTAGTCCTCATTTGAGAATCAGAAAGTGAGTGAGACAACAAATGTGAGTTTAGAAGAAAGTTTTTACGAGCTTGAGGCTCTTGGATGAGCTCGAGGCTCTTAGATGAGCTGAGGGCTCCTAGAGAGCTGAGGGCTCCTAGACGAACTTGAGGGCTCCTTGGAGCTTGGGCTCTAGATGAGCTTGAGGGCTCTAGAATTGGGGCTCCTAGAGCTTGAGGGTAGTTTTGGGTCTAGAGGTTGAGGGTTAGAGATTGAGGTTAGAAGGGTGTTGGGCTCTAGACGAGCTTGAGGGCTCCTAGAGAGCTAGGTTGGAGCTTGAGGCCTTAGACGAGCTTGAGGGCTCTCTTAGACGATAAAAATTATTGGTTATTGCAGTAAAAATCGATTTAGACACCTCAAAATGTAGCTTTTTAACTCCAGTAGATGACAAGTTTCGACTACAAGTTCTAGAGCTGACACTAGAGATTCTAGAGCTAACACTAGCTGTGATTACTCACCTTGATCACTCCATAAAGACACACGAGAAGTGATATCGTCTTCCATTGCATCGAAATGTTACCCTGGAAATTTATTCCTTTTTTTTACACATAATCAATATGAGATCGAAATCAAAGTGAAATTTGGGCACTCATAGAATTAAAATCGAGAGAAAATGGCAAGGAAATCGTAAAGGGAAATGAAATGAAATGAAATTTGTTTTAAAATGGTAAAACTAATGTAGCAGCTTATATGCTTAACTGAAAAGCTAACAAAATGGCAAGGAAAATGAGAATTCAGGTGACAAAATGGAATAGCTAACTTTTGGCTGGATTGAAAGGTTTTAAAGATATCTATTTGGTTGGCTTACTGTAAATCTAATTCTCAGATAGCTTCTAGATCTTTCTAGGATTACGGTAACTCTAGATCTTTCTAAGGCTACGGTAACTCTAGATCTTTCTAGGATTATGGTAACTTTAGATCTTTCTAGGATTACGGTAACTTTAGATCCTTCTAGGATTACGGTAACTTTAGATCCTTCTAGGATTACGGTAACTTTAGATCTTTTAGAATCCATTTTAATCAAGCTTTTGGTTTAGTTTGTAGTCTGGATACTGTAGGCCAAAAGTTGACTAACCTCTAACTCCTAGCTGACTTAAACTTGATGCTTAGTATAGAAATCATTTCCTCTGATTTCTAAGATATAAAAAATGTAGATAGATTAGATAAAAATCGAGCAAATTCCGCTAAAAAAGACAAGCAAATTATAGAAAACGGATTTGAAAATAAACAAGCAACAAAGCTATTCATTTTTCGTTTCCCCATCCTCATCCACCTCCTCGACGGAGGCTTTGATCTCATCCACCTCCTCGACGGAGGCTTTGATCTCATCCACCTCCTCGATGGACGCTTTGATCTGATCCAAATCGATCTCCTCTTCCTCATCTTTTTTATTCCAATCACTTATCGCCTGACAACAACGTTTATGAATCGGCCAATCAAATTTCTGACACTTTTCCGAGCAATACGGCACTTTACATCCACCACAGCGCTTTTTTGCCGAAAACGATCCACACGTGAAGCAAAAATGGCTAACTGCGTGTAATCGTTGCCCAAATAAACCCTGAACAATATAATCGTATCCAGCGGGTCTTTGCCCGAATTTCGACTTTGATAAAGCTTTGACTAAAGTCTCAAAAAGTAAGCTATGATGGTATGGGAAAGAGACGATCGCCGATCTCAACAATGTATCCAATTTTGGTCGAACCTCGTCCCCTGGAGACATAAAAAGTAAACTTTTTGCGTAGAATGTTGCTGATTTTAAAGGATTTTCCTGATCTTTTCTTTCATCGATAAATTTATAAGTTTCTCTTAGAATTTGTAAAATTATCCAAACTTTCAGCGATAAAACTTCATTGCTTTCTTTACAACGCAATTGACTCTCGAAAATTCGATCCACTACATAGAGAATCTTTTTTCGGTACTTGAGTGCATCCTCGTAGTCTAATAAAGTAAAAATGATGGCGATTGGGTGGACGACGTGAGCGGAAACGGTTTTGTGAATGAATTTCGAGAGTTCTTCTGGGAATTTCTCTTCTGAATCCTTTGGATTTAAGAGTTTGTTGATTTGCTCGAGTGAAATGTGATTGTTGATGACTGAGACGCACTCATGTTGGCCGACAAAAGCAGCCAGCTCACAAGCTGTTTTTCCGATATTGTTTGTGTAGGAGGATTCGGCTCCATAATCCATTAACAACCGGCAGAGATCCGGTTTACCTGAAAAAAGAATAAGTCTTAGCTTTAACAAGGGAAAAGCAACAGTAAGCAACTTCTGAACCTCTGACTTGGCTTTACTGTAAAACTAGCTCTAGTCTAGCTCTAACCTAGCTCTAGCCTAGCTCTAGCCTAGCTTTAGCCTAGCTTTAGCCTAGCTTTAGCCTAGCTCCAGCTTAGCTTTAGTCTAGCTCTAACCTAGCTCTAGCTTAGTTCTAGTCCAGTTCTAGCTTAGCTCTAACCTAGTTATTTATTATCTGATTTAGATCTTTCAGTATCTGCCAAATTTTTCGACTTTACTTTGCTTAAAAAGAGATTAACCTATTCAAAAAGTAGCAAAATGAATAGAATTCTTGAAATGAATTCTTGAAATGAAGATCCTGCAAATTCCACTCAACTTCAACAACTCACCAGACAACGCGGCGAACATGAGCGGTGTATAGCCTTGCTCGTGCCGTTTCGTGTTCACTTCAGCGCCAAATTTGAGACAAACCCTCGCCATTTCCACATTTCCTCGAAAAGCCGCTTGACATAAAGGAGTCATCCCGTTTTTGTCCACACAATTCACATCGATTCCTTGCGAGAATTTTTGCTCAACCAGGGAAATCTCTCCTTTATCAATCGCTTCGAATAAATCCATCTAAAAAAAGGAGATTTCATTTTAAAACTTTCAAGGATATTTCAAGGAGCTTGGAAAAGGAAATTTACATAAATTAGTTAAAAATTTTCTTAAACAATGATCAAATTAAAGAAAAGAAACAAAGATTGTACTAGAAAAAGATCTATTTTTGAAAACTAATGTTCTCTGAGACAACTCTCGGTAGAGGTAGAGTGATCTCGTAAAATAGCTGATTGTGCATTTCAAACTTTTCATACTTTTCTACGAGAAATTCAACAGCTTCTTTTAGCGAAAAAAGACGAGCCAAATTCCGACAGCCGAAATCTACAAGCTGATGGTTGTTAAAATTAAAAATTTTTTTAGCGACTCAACACTGGAGACTTCAAAAATGAACTATCATCAAGCCAACTTGCTGAACCGATACACTCTTTCAATCGAAAATACGAGAGTCACGCTTTATCACGAAGACGAACGACGGAAAGCCGGTAGCGAACCAGAAAGGCAACGAGTAATTCAACAAGAAGAGCTCTTCAAAATTTTTTACAAAACACACGTTAAACTTGGACATGCAGGGATATGCGTGATGTGGAAAGGACTCAGAGAGTTTTTATGGTATTTCAAAGTAAGTAATTGGTTGTACTTTTGCTTTACTTTGTTTTAGAGAAATAATTGCTATATTCGTCAATCTCTGGGAAGAATGCGAAATGAAGCGTCAAAATCCGAAGAGAACAGTCGTGGTGTAACCAATACGGACGCAAAGACAGAATGAAAGGTGTCAAATCGATCTCATTGACCTACAATCAACTCCAGATGGGGAATTTAAGTTCATCTTAGTATACCAAGTATTATTTAAATGTAATATTTTATAAATGTGCTTTAAGATCATTTGACAAAATTTGTGACGTTAAAAGGCCGTTGAAAACAAAAACGGCAAAAGAAACATGCAATCAACTCGCGATGATCTTTGGAATTTTTGGAAAATCTCTACCCCCTTCTAGAGATTTAGGGGGGTAGATAGTCGGAGTTTGGCCGCTTTTCTCTTTTCCTCCATATCTCGACTTCTAATTGTCGAATCGACTTATGGTTGGGTTTAAAATGTTCCTTATGAAATTCGGTTATAGAAAACCACAATTTACTTAGTACACACTAGTGCAAAAAGATAGAGAAAATTTCACTCAAAGTCAGACTACCTACCATGAAGTTAGGTGGGTAGTCGAAACTATAACGGCATAGTCAAGTTATTAATCTGGTTACAAATTACTTTTCTAAATGTAGAATGTCGCGTAGATTCCGAGTTCGTAGTTAAAAATTCTAGTTTCTCGACCAAAAACCCAAAAAAGGGCTTTTAAGCTGTAATTTAACTGAAAATATTGCATAAAAGAGAGTTTTTCTGATTCTGGTTAAATTCTATCATTGTTTAATCAAAAGAAAAGCTCAGAAACTCAGAAAAGCTAAAAGGAAAGTCTTAAAAAGCGATCTCTTTCTGAAATCTATAAAAATATTAAAAATTCAGCTAGATGGGTGATGACCGGATGAATCCCGAAATGAATTTCCTTTTGCCGGGTCACCGAGGCAACCAAGAGCAGATAAATATTGAATATATCATCACTAAGAACTATTTCAATGACTTTAAAAGGGTTCGCGATTTCGCACGAAACTCTTTTCACTGAAAAACCTAAGAATTTTACTATAACTCGCTTCAAAATAGATAGATTTTTTGAAATTCTTTCTTATTAGATGCTATTTATTTTAGATTTTTCAGATTTCGATCAAATTTAGGCAAAGCTTAAGGCTTAAGGCAAAGCAAAGCTTAGGCGCTACTATTAGTGAGAATACGGTAGATGGCGAAGACATTTAAACGATGGTAGGACACTATTAACTAATGGAAGAATGAGAAGACCAAATTCAACAAGACTGAAGTTTTTTTTGATTAGAACTAAGCCAGGAATTAAGCTTATCCAAGTCGTTTAGAATATCTTAACAAAGAAAAATTCTAAACAAGACAGCAATCGATGAAATGAGTAAAACATTTGTAAAGAAGCTACAAACTTCTTTTGTAAAGAAGCTTCATGATAAAATTAAAGAAACTAGTTCAAGACTTTTTGCCAACTCGAATCAAACTGGAATAAGTCGAGAGCTACAGTACTGGACAATGAAATATCATACTTGAAGAAACGATCGTCACTTTCGCGCGTCTGTAACTCTCTTTTCTTTGAGTTTAAACTATTAGTGTTATACATTTTCTGAAAGCTCTTTTCAGGGGCTACACAATGGTAATATTAATATTTACAAATACGGTAAAGACAAGGGAGTTACAGACGTCCGAAAGTGACGATCGTTTTTCAAATATGATATTTCATTGTCCAGTACTGTACATTACATGTTATTGAGTGTTTCTAGAAATAGATGAGCTAATTCAATCCTAAATCTGGATCGAATCCATCATAAAATGAGGTATTAAAAGATGAAATCAGATCATTTCAACATTAAGCATTTCAGTTAGTGGCTCTAGAATTTGTAGCAAAAATGCAGTCAAATTTGAAGTAAAAATTGGTCCCTAAAATTTGGGCATTGAAGGGAACCGCGTAAAAAGAAATTTACGCAAATTCGATAAATAGATTTAAAATCCTCTAAATTCAGCTTTCCTTTTTCAGAAAACTGAAAACTTACACAAGTTCTAGGGACAATAAGCTGCAAAATGGGAATGGCCCGGTGAGAATGGTCCTGTGAGAATGGTCCTGTGAGAATGGCCCCGATGAGGATGGCTGGATGAGGATAGCCCGATGAGGATGGCCCGATGAGAATGGCCCGATGAGGATGGCCCGATGAGAATGGCCCGATGAGGATAGCCCGATGAGGATGGCCCGATCACTTTCGCGCGTCTGTAACTCTCTTTTCTTTGAGTTTAAACTATTAGTGTTATACATTTTCTGAAAGCTCTTTTCAAGGGCTACACAATGGTAATATAAACATTTATAAATATACGGTAAAGACAAGGGAGTTATAGACGCGCGAAAGTGATTTAAAATCGGGTCACCGAGGCAACCGAGAGCAGATAAATATTGAATATATCATCACTAAGAACTATTTCAATGACTTTAAAAGGGTTCGCGTTTTCGCACGAAACTCTTTTCACTGAAAAACCTAAGAATTTTACTATAACTCGCTTCAAAATAGATAGATTTACTAAAATTCTTTCTTATTAGATGCTATTTATTTTAATTTAATTGTTAATATGAAAAATATAGAAATTTGTTCAGTAGTTTTTAAGAAAATCATAAAAAAACAAAGATTTTCTTAAAAATTAAACAAAAACTGGATTTTACAGTTGATCAACTCAAATTTTGAATCAACAATCACAAAGTTCAATAAATGATTGGAAAATTGAGGTGATAAATTAAAAATTAGTGTTTATGACGATAGTTTTCGAAAATTAGAAGAAGAAGAAGAAGGAAATTAACGTAAAATTTCTTTTAAGAGAGTCCATAAATTTATTGACTAAGCGAGGGAGGCAAAATCGTTTGATTTATGAAGTTTCCTAGTTTTCCGAGATTAATGCCAAAAAAAGGGCTTTTAAGCTGTGATTTAACAAGTGAAAGCGAGAATTTGAAAATGATTTCAATGCAAAATCAAGCGTTTGAAAAAAATCTTTGAATCAGGCTTTTTTAAAAACTTCATGGCTTTTAAAGAAATGTATAAAGATTTAAGAAAAAAGTGATTCTTAGCCTAACCGAGTGTCAAGCTATCTTTCGTCCCTCAAAAAGACTTCATGTAGACCAAGTGATTAGTGTGCTAGGATCTCTTTTAGAGCCTGAGCCTGAGCCTAAGCTTAAGCCTAAGCCTGAGCCTGAGCCAAAACCTAAGCCTAAGCCTAAGCCTAAGCCTAAGCCTAAGCCTAAGCCTAAGCCTAAGCCTAAGCCTAAGCCTAAGCCTAAGCCTAAAGCCTAAGCCTAAGCCTAAGCCTAAGCCTAAGCCTAAGCCTAAGCCTAAGCCTAAGCCTAAGCCTAAGCCTAAGCCTAAGCCTAAGCCTGAGCCTAAGCCTAAGCCTAAGCCTAAGCCTAAGCCTAAGCCTAAGCCTAAGCCTAAGCCTAAGCCTAAGCCTTAGCCTTAGCCTAATCAGCTAAGTTTCCTAGTGAAAACTAGCCTGTTTTGTAGCTGCTTTCGAATTTCTGACACATTTATGTGTACTGGATTCAAATTTAGCTCAAAAAGCTCAATCAATGATCGGAAAATTAAGGTGATTAAATGAAAATTCATCTTTATGACGATATTTTTCGAAAATCTAAAAAAGAAGAAGGGAATTAACGTAAGATTTCTGTTAAGAGAGTCCAGACTAGGCGAGAGAAGTGAAATTGTTTGATTTATGAAGGCAAAATCGTTTGATCCTAGTGAAATCTAGCCTATTTTGTAGCAAATTTTTTGCTGATTTCGAATATCTAACTCGTTTATGTGTAATGGGTTTAAATTTTTGATTTAAATCTGTTTGTAGTTTGTTTGTGTAAAAAGAGCTTTTGTGCAAGTGTAATTGAATAAAAACAAAATAAAATATAAAAAATATAATAAGAAAAAGGGAAAACTTTGACTGTCACAAAGTTAGATTGAAGAAGATCAAATATATTTTTCTTTTAAGTTCTAGAATCAGAAAGAAATTTCGTTTTCTTGACGTTTGAGAGGATTGCAAAGAAAAGCAGACAGGGAAATTGAAGAAAGGAAAACATTGCGCACAAAGAGCGCACAAAGAGCGCACAATGAACGATGAACGAGCATTCAAGAAAAGAAATATTTATAGTAGGAATAATATGGTAGAAACAATATACAAGAACAACACCATTCTCTTGTAAAGAAAAGCTTTTAATCGTCCAAAGAAAACTAGTCAAAAAGAACAACTTTTGTAACAAAAGTTGTGCCAAAAGGTGCGCCAAAAGTGCGCCAAAGGTGCGCCAAAAGTGCTCCAAAAGGTGCGCCAAAAGTGCTCCAAAAGATGTGCCAAAAGGTGTGCCAAAAGTGCGCCAAAAGGTGCTCCAAAAGTGCTCCAAAAGGTGCGCCAAAAGGTGCGCAAAAAAATGCGCCAAAAGGTGCGCCAAAAGGTGCATATAAAGAGATACGAATTAAGATAAGAATAAAGGTAAATAAAGGTAAATAAATGCTAAACAAAGTATGAATAAAAGATCATTTCCAACAAAGCACTTTTGTTACAACTTTTGTTAGTAATTAATAGTGATTCATAAACAATTTTGTTAGTAATTCCTAGTGTCGATAAGCGCTCTAATAACCTTAAAAATTGTCTGTCTCTTTTCCAAATTTACACAAACTCAAACACGAAAACTAATTCAGAATATTTAACGAGCCAGCCGGTCATGACGGAAGAGAAAAGAGAAAGTTAAGAGAGAAAAAAGAGAGAAAGAGAAAGAGAAAGTACCCAGTACTGTTAAGAGAGAAAAAAAGTACTCAAAACTAGCATTTTTTTCCTCAGATTTTAAATTCTAGTCTAGATAGATTATAATTTAAACCGTATTCGACTTGTGTTTGCTTGTGCTTTGTCAGATCACCGTATTCGACTTTGTCATGGAGGGGATTCGAACCTACAGCTGGCATAGCTTTGGCAAAAACTGGCATAGCTTTGGTAGAAGCCTACACTATCCACTAGACCACTAGACCGGAGTGCTGACCGGGAAAGCGGGGGAAGCCACTTAGCCTCGCGCGGCCATTTCCCGAGGTAGATGCCCAGGCTTGGAACGCGTTTTTCTCGAAAACTAGAGCTTCTTAGCAAAATCCGAAAGCACCATTGTGATCACCGTATTCGACTTATGTTTGCACCTCATTTTGGTCCGGAAATGTCACGGTAACTTCTCGCTGTTCCCTTGTAAAGAAAAGCTTTTAATCGTCCCAAGAAAACTAGTCAAAAAGAACAACTTTTGTAACAAAAGTTGTGCCAAAATGTGTGCCAAAAAGGTGCGCCAAAAGGTGCGTCAAAAGTGCGCCAAAAGTGCTCCAAAAGTGCTCCAAAAGTGCGCAAAAGGTGCGCAAAAAGTGCTCCAAAAGTGCGCCAAAAGGTGCGCCAAAAGGTGCTCCAAAAGGTGCTCCAAAAGTGCTCCAAAAGTGCTCTAAAAGGTGCTCCAAAAGGTGCTCCAAAAGTGCTCCAAAAGTGCTCCAAAAGGTGCTCCAAAAGGTGCTCCAAAAGGTGCGCCAAAAGTGCTCTAAAAGGTGCTCCAAAAGGTGCTCCAAAAGTGCTCCAAAAGGCGCTCCAAAAGTGCTCCAAAAGGTGCTCCAAAAGGTGCGCCAAAAGGTGCGCCAAAAGTGCGCCAAAAGTGCTCCAAAAGTGCGCCAAAAGGTGCTCCAAAAGTGCTCCAAAAGGTGCGCCAAAAGGTGCGCAAAAAAATGCGCCAAAAGTGCCAAAACCAAAACTAACACTTTTTCCTAAAAAAAATTCGAATTTCAACAAATTATAATCAAATTTTTTTTGTGAAAATCGCTAATCTTTCATTTTTTTTGTAAACGATCAAGAAAAGAAGAAAGAATTCAAAAAATAAAACAAAATTTTAATCAAGATCAAGAATCAATCTTTAAAATTAAAGATTTGAAAAGAAATTTAAGAAAAATTATAAAAATTTTTAATAGTTTTCCTTTATTAAAGAATATTTTAGCTTTCTGAGCATCATTTTTCAAATGTTTTTCAGTAAATTTGCAATGAAAAGCTTAAAAAAACATTAACTAAATAAGCTTAAGTTGTTTAAAAGAAAATTTTCTGTAAAACAAAACATTTGATTGAAGAAAAGTTGAAGAAAATCAAGTTTTTACACAAAAATTTCATTGGGAAAGGGGGAAAATGGGGTTTTATTTGCTGGATAAGTGACCGTACCCTTTCACAATCAAATTGAGAGCATAATTTTGGATGACAAATCCTTGGAACCCTTATACTTTGTAGATTTTATTTGTTTTATTGTTTTATTTCATTTTAGATAGATATTTTTTAATACTTTTGATTTTAGGTTTAAAGAATGGAACGTTTTCTTCGACTGGGTGGCTTGGGTGGTCAACTTGGAGGGGTAAAAGATTTTAAAAAGATTATGCTAACAAGAGCTAGAGGATTTTAAGCTTAAGCTAGCAAAATAAGAGGATTTTAAGCTTAAACTAACAAAAGATAGAGGATTTTAAACTTAAGCTGACAAAAGCTAGAGGATTTAAAGCTTAAGCTAGCAAACACTAAAGGATTTTAAGCTTAGCCTAACAAAATAAGAGGATTCTAAGCTTAAGCTAACAAAATAAGAGGATTCTAAGCTTAAGCTAACAAAAGCTAAAGGATTTTAAGCTTAGCCTAGCAAAATAAGAGGATTCTAAGCTTAAGCTAACAAAATAAGAGAAGTTAAAGCTTAAGCTAACAAAAGCTAGAGGATTTAAAGCTTAAGCTAACAAAAGCTAAAGGATTTTAAGCTTAGCCTAGCAAAATAAGAGGATTCTAAGCTTAAGCTAACAAAATAAGAGGATTCTAAGCTTAAGCTAACAAAATAAGAGGATTCTAAGCTTAAGCTAACAAAATAAGAGGAGTTAAAGCTTAAGCTAACAAACGCTAAAGGATTTTAAGCTTAGCCTAACAAAATAAGAGGATTCTAAGCTTAAGCTAACAAAATATTTTAGGAATAAAGAAATAAAGGAAAAGATTTGAATATTTGTTTTTGTTTTAGTTTGGCGGAACTCCATCGGATTCAAATCAAGTGGACACCTCGGAAACCGTTTATATCTCGTCGTTGGCATTGTTGAAGATGTTAAAACACGGAAGAGCCGGAGTGCCGATGGAGGTTTTAATTTCAAAAGTTTTAAAAGTGGAAACGATTGAGAAATTTGGTTTTAAAATCAGAGTAATTGAATGATTTCTAGGTGATGGGACTGATGCTGGGCGAGTTTGTCGACGAGTACACCGTCAACGTGATCGACGTCTTTGCGATGCCCCAAAGTGGAACGGTAAAAATAGAGTAATCTAGGTTTTTAGCTTTTCAAAAAAAGAATAGATTAGCTTTGGGTTTTAAAAGTTTCGAAAATACTTTAATAGTACCATACCATAATGACGGTGCGGAGTGTTGTGTAGTCTAGATTTGAACGAGTTTTTCTCGACACTGGTTTATGCTACAATGCTACAATAGGTATCAAAAAATAGCCCTGAATTTCAGTTATTTTTTGATATCAAAACGAGCATTGTAGCATAAACCAGTGCCGAGAAACATTCGTTCAAAGCTAGCTATTATTATATTTAGATTTAAACTCGATTAGAGTCTTAACGGTATTTATTACATTAGTCTTTCGATTTCGCATTAAATTAAATGAAAATTCGACTAATTCACTGTAAAGCTAGCTAAAAACAATCGACAATCACTTTTTCGAGCACAAAATCACCAGATGCTATGTAACGATGTGTACTTTATTTACTTTTGTACTTTATTTTGACTACAAAACGACTCATTTCTTTTTTGCTTATTATATAAAAAATGAAAAGTACGATTGTTAATTTAGAAATTGATTCGAACTTCAACCAATTTTTAGTCAGCGCTTTGTAGAGATTGGACAATAAACCCAAAAGTGATGGTAGTGTTGATGCAAGAGAAAAGCCTAAGGCTTGAATTTCAGCTATTTTTGATACCAAAACGAGCATTGTAGCATAAACCAGTGTCGAGAAAAAACTCGTTCAAAGCTAGACTACCGTAAATACTGTAATAGTACCGCCGCCCTTAATGACGGTGCGGGTGTTGCGTAGTCTAGCTTGAACGAGTTTTTCTCGAAACTGGTTTATGCTACAATGCTACAATAGGTATCAAAAATAGCCCTGATTTCAGCTATTTTTGATATCAAAACGAGCATTGTAGCATAAACCAGTGTCGAGAAAAACTCGTTCAAATCTAGACTACGCAGCACTCCGCACCGTCATTATGGGACGGGGGTACTATTAAAGTATTTACGGTATCTGAAAATCTTAGGGAGTTTCCGTCGAAGCCGTCGATCCAGTGTTTCAAGCGAAAATGTTGGACATGTTGAAGCAAACGGGAAGACCCGAAATGGTTGTCGGATGGTTGGTAAAAGATTTCTAAAAAGTGTCTTCTCTTTCTACCGTAATCTTGTCTTTATCCACTTTATCCACTCAATCTTGAAAAGCTTTTCTTAACAATTTTTAATAGAGAAAAGTGGTCAAATGATAGATTCGCCGGAGAGATTTGTCGACTAGCGCTCATTCAAGCGCTTGTTAAATGAGTTGTATAAGTCGAATCGGGATGTTTTTGATAGATAAATGTTGCCGAGAATTAGGCCTACAATTCTCTGTATAACAATTGCCACGTTTGAAATAAATTAGACATTTCCCAGGTACTCTTCCAAAAAGTTGTTGCGGTAATTCTTGGGCACCCTGTAGAAAAACATAATAATAATTTTAATGCATAAAATATAAGCTTTTAACGGTGTGACAGAGCTTTTGACGCTATATAAAATATAATAAATATCAATTTAAATCTTTCCAGGTACCACTCACATCCCGGTTTCGGTTGTTGGTTGTCTGGAGTCGACATCAACACTCAGCAATCGTTTGAGGCTTTGTCGGATCGCGCTGTCGCCGTCGTCATTGATCCAATTCAATCCGTGAAAGGAAAAGTACGTTGTGACTCATTTAAAGCTAGCTAGCTAGCTCAAATTTCTCGTGCTAAGCTTTTAAATCTTAGCTCTGAAAAAAAAAATCTTCAAAAATGCGTATTTAAAAGTTTTTATCTTGGAAAAATTTAATATTGGACTGAACTCAGAAAAATGAAAAATTTTATGGGAAAAACGGGACTAGAAAAGAGGTTTTAAGTATAGAAATATTAGAAATAATATTAGAAATGATATTAGAACTAATATTAGAACTAACATTAGAAACTAATCAAGGTACAGCTTTGTTTTTGAGGATAAGACGATATCTCACAAAGAGATCTCAAAGAAATCAAAGAAATCTCAAAGAAATCAAAGAGATCTCAAAGAAATTAAAGAAATCTCAAAGAAATCAAAGAAATCTCAAAGAAATCAAAGAGATTCTCAAAGAAATCTCAAAGAAATCTCAAAGAAATCAAAGAAATCAAAGAGAATCCATCGTTTAAATCATTTTGAGTGAGTCAAACTTGCATCAATTCAACGAAAACATTAATTTTTCCCCTAGATTCAATAGAACTTGCAAATTCTTGACCTTTCAAGAATCCTTTTTTAGATGAGATTTAGAAAAACGAGGTCACGGGTTGTTTGTTCAAAGTTGAGAAAGCCTAAAGTGTCACTCGTAAATCTTTTCATGGCTTTAAACCCAGGGGATTTCAAGAAGACGTGCTGAACACAAAAAGGAATCAGAATTCGAATTGAAATGATTGGAATGTGAAAGAAATGATATACCGTATTTTCTCTAATAATAGTGCACAATGAGCGTCGTCTAAATTGCTTGAAATCTCGAGAACCGCTTATCAGAACCTATCGATGTGAGGTCGAAAATGTAGCTGACAATGAGATCTTGTGGGGGATTAGAGTGTTGGACTTCTGGGAAAACTTGGAAACTATAAAATCGTCATCAACTCGGCCCACCGGGAAATATTAAGTAAATAGATCAGTCTGATCTACTAGCCTAACCTGGAATAATATACCGTCTTCTCTCTAATAATAGTGCACCTTAAGCGTCGCCTAAATTCCTCGAAATCTCGAGAACCGATTATCAGAACCTATCGATGTGGGGTCGGAAAATGTAGCTGACGATGAGATCTAGTGGGGGATTAGAGTGTTGAGCTTCTGCAAAAGCTTGGAAACCGTAAAACCTCGGCTCAGCGGGGTGCATTACTCAGCGGGGTGCATTACTATTAGAGAGAATACGGTATAGTAGATATTATCTCATTTGACTTCCCAGGTGACAATCTGTTGATTGTTCTATGGAATTTCGCTTTTCTTATCACATATCTCAATGCCAGTGAACTAACGCGTAAAATTACAATTATAGATCCTATGCAAATCTTTAGAATACTGTTCATTTATCCATTATAAAGCCATTGTTCATTTTGTCCATTTTCTTTTCAACACGGTCTTGCCAACACAATTTCCGTTCTTCTTTTGATACAAACCATACAAATCAAAACGTTTTCTGAAAAGTTTCGGCAGTTTTCTGTACTGTACGGTAATTTACAAGCTAGTACAAGTAAAAGAGTGCAATATTATTAGAGAAAACGAGGTAAACAAGGAAAACAAGGAAAACAAGGAAAAAAAGGAAAACAAAACAAGGTAGAGCAAAGATTTTAGGTTGTAATCGACGCTTTTCGAACGATCAATCCGCAGACAATTGCGCTAAACCAAGAGCCCCGACAAACCACCTCGAATCTTGGGCACTTGCAGAAACCAAGTATTCAGGTTCATCAGAATTTTCATTTTATTTAAATTGAACTCAGATTTAAATGCAATAACCAATATTTCAATTGTAGAATTGCTAAGTGTCAAAAATGGCAGATCTCTGGAGAGAAATCGACTTGAGCTCAGGCTCAAGTCGATTTCTCTCCAGAGCGCATTCAAAAGCTTGTAAAATTTTTTGTATAATTCGAATCGGAAAGTTCTTTGTAGATAAATAAAGCCAAGAGAAAGGGCTTTATTTTTCTATAAAACACTTGGCACTTTGGCAATAAGCCGTTTGCCAGGAACTTTTTCAAAAAAGGTGTCGCCAGAACTCGCGGCCATTCTGTATAAAAACTGATAAAGATCTAATTTTTTGTTTCAAAACAGTGACTTTATTGAGATCAAATTTTCAATTGATAGTTTAAGTTTATGCATTTGTAAGTTTAACAATGTTATGCTCAACATGTTTTTTAAAATTTAGGCTTTAATACACGGTCTTAATCGGCACTACTACTCGATCCCGATCGCCTACAAGACTCATGAGAGAGAACAGCAGGTATAAAGTGGTTATTTTTATAGGTAAAATACTAGACATGGGCTATAGATCTATAGCATTTAGCTGTAGCTATAGATCTATAACATTTAGCTATAATTATAGATCTATAATATTGAGCTATAGCTATAGATCTATAACATTGAGCTATAGCTAATCTATAGCATTTAGCTATAGTTATAGATCTATAACATTTAGCTATAGCTATAGCGATAGACCTATAGCATTTAGCTACAGCCATAGATCTATAACATTGAGCTATAGCTATAAATCTATAACATTTAGCTATAACTATAGATCTATAACATTTAGTTATAGTTATAGATCTATAATATTGAGCTATAGCTATAGCTATAAGTCTATAACATTTAGCTATAGCTATAGCTATAGATCTATAGTATTTAGCTATAGTTATAGATCTATAACATCGAGCTATAGTTATAGATCTATAACATCGAGCTATAGTTATAGATCTATAACATTTAGCTATAGATCATGTCAATCAAGATTTCAAGCAGGTTAGAAGCGTTTGTAGTTTACGTTTGTAGTTTGTAGTGTTCATGTCTACACTTCATGAACAAGCCAAACTCCAGTCAAAATAGCTTTCCATTATCTATATCTAATTTCAAGTTGATCTACGATAAACTTGAAATTCTAGATGCTCCTCAACCTGGATAAACGATCGTGGATGGATGCTTTGGGACTGCAAAAATATGAAGGACATTGCAAACAAAATGCGGAGACGATGAAGAGGATATTGAAGCTGACGAAAGACTACAAGAAGGTAAGGCTTAACTTATTGTTAGCAAACAGTAGCACAGCCTGTACTGATCTGTTCTTTGATTCAACCAACAACTAGCCTAGACAAGAGCCTGAACTTGACAATAATTGATAAAGGTAGCCTGAACTTGACTTTAGCCGGTTTTTACAAATAAAATCCAGTCTAAGTCTGATCTGTACCTGGCTCTGTTCTAGTAATTGAGCTGATCTGACTTTGACTTGTCTAGACATAGGAAAGTTTCAATTCAAACCTGATTCCACCTTTGTTTTCTTGGCCGATTACTCTAAAACTTTGTCTTCAAATAGAAATTGGCTTCCTTTGCTATTTCTTAATAGAAAATTATCGTAATTAAGCCGTGAATTGATCCAAAAAGTGGTTCAAAGCTTAGAAATAGACATTTTGCACTTGAACTTGAACACAAAATTGCAGAGGAATCGAAAGGGAACGAGAAAATGAAGGTGGAATTAGGTTGAGCTTGGGATTTCCCATGTCTAACCCAAGCTGATCTAAAAGAATAGGGCAAAGTCTGATCATGAGCTGATCTGATTCTGGCCTAGCTTGGCCTGGCTTGGCCTGGATTGGCCTGGCTTGGCCTAGCTTAGCCTGGCTTGGCCTAGCTTGGCCTGGCTTGACTTGGCTTGGCCTAGCTTGGCCTAGCTTAGCCTGGCTTGACCTGGCTTGGCCTGGTTTAACCTGGCTTGGCCTGGTTTGGCCTAACCCAGCTGATCTAGTCAAACTTTCCTAGCCCGATCTGATCAAAAGTAAGGAGTTGAGTCAGATCTTTAATTTAAAACAACTCCCAGTCTTTCCTCAATCAAATCTCAATATTCAGTCTCTGGAAGACGAGGAGAAGATGACCGAGCACGAGTTGGAGATCAAAAACGTCGGAAAGCAAGACCCAAAGCGACATTTGGGAGAAGAGGTAAACAAATTGGGAATCGAGCAATCAAGCAAATCAGAACACCAATTTATCTAAGATTTTGATTTATCTGTTCAGAAAACTTAGAGAAATCCCTGGGGAGGCTTTTGGAAAGCAAAAACTTGTCACAATTCGTGTTTTTTTGCCTCCCCAAAACGGTGGGCGGTTTTTGGGGGTCACACACTTGTTTCTTCTCTCTAAATCCCCAGGTCACGTTATTGACGATGGTATTCCCAGAGGAGATCCCGAAAAGGCAAAAATCTCAAAAGCTGACGTTGACGCTGATGCTAGGACCTTTATTTTTGAATAGACACCTTTTGCTTTTTAAAATTTTCGCTTTCAAAACTGAAAACGGAATTTCAACTGACTGAGCCGGTGAAATGCTTAGCGAGCCATACCATTCGACGCAGAATTTGATGCTGATTCCGAATCTGTTTTGCATTTTTGCTAAATGACAATCTACCAGTAGTTGCACTAAAATTCTGCATCGGATGGTCTAGATCTCATTTCGCTTGGTCACCTTGATTTCGTGACTTTCCCTTGCAAGTAAACTACAGTAAAGCTAGCTTTATATTAGGTTGTCCAGTTATGCATGCGCGTTTTACTATTTTGTAAATTTCTCAAGATATCGAACAGATGTATTGGGTTGGGGAGAATGAGTCGGCGCCAAACTTTAAAGGGACTTTTTGCACACATAAAGCCTTCTTTAAACATACGTTTGGTTTCATCAAAAGGATCCACTATTTCTCTACAAAATCACTTTTGAGAGATTCCACAAAGCTTTTCTTTCGTGGAGTTTATGAACGTCCAAACGCAGCTGGTTAAAATGGCAAAGAGTCCGACTCATCATTTGAACAGTTTCTTTCACATAAACCTTCTTTGGTGTTTATATAAAAAAGATAGAGCACATTCAATTACTTAAGTTGCCAAATTTGCAGGAAGATCCCACCAATGGTTTTTTCTAGATCACAGTTTGTAGTTTTTGTGAAAAAATGGCTTTTTCTTGAGCGGAGGCGCTGTTTGAATTTTCTTTTAAATGTCATTTTGTAGAGAATTAGTTAACCATTCTACTCATATCAAACGCATACTATTTGACGAAGTCGAATAGAAGTTTTAGACATTTTTTCATTTTCGGCGCCGACTCATTCTCCCCAACCCAATAGATTGGATTGGTGCAGGGTACAGAGTGCTCCATAATTCTCGCAACAAGATAAAGTTCTGATTTTAAGGCAGACAAGAGCATCTATCCATTAATCTATCTATTAATCTATTTATTAATCTATCTATTAATCTATCTACCGTATTTCTTCGAATAGAAGACCGGGTAAATAGTATCATCGCGTACTCCTGCGTAGCAGCCCTTTTTTAGAATTTCTTTTCTGCATAAAAGCTTTCAATCAAGTGCTATAGAGCTGGAAAATGGCTCAAAAATACCACATGAGCTAACAGAAAATACTAGACATGGGCTATAGATCTATAGTTATATATCTATAACATTTAGCTATAGCTGTAAATCTATAACATTGAGCTATGGCTATAGATCTATAGGATTTAGCTATAGTTATAGATCTATAACATTTAGCTGTAGCTATAGATCTATAACGTTTATCGGGTGGTCCAGTTATGAATGCGCGTTTTTACTATTTTGTAAATTTCTCAAGATATCGAACAGATGTAGATGAGTGTTATATATCATTCGAAAGCTGAAGATCTCCTCTACATTTTGGAATAAAAAAAGTTTTTGAATTCATTCATCTTTTCGGGAAATTGACTGCACAAAGGGAGAGGTCGTTTTCAAAAAATCCATTTCAGCTTAGCTATTCCTCAAGTTTTATGGTGTAAAATAACCGCCCAGCAAAGAAAACAAAAGTAAAGATGCGCTGAAATTGTTATATTTAAAAAAAAGTTGTATTGATATATCTATTGGCCAAACATCAAACGGTTAACTCGATTTGAGCGAAGCCAAAACTTGATCCAAAGGCACCTTTCCATTTTTTTTGGCCACTTCTTCTTCTGTGCAGTCAATTTGCCCAAAAGCTGAACAAATTCAAAAACTTTTTTTATCAAAATGTAGAGGAGATCTTCAGCTTTCGAATAATACTCATATAAATCTTTTTCTTGATTTCGGTATCTTGAGAGATTTACAAAATAGTAAAAAATGCGCATTCATAACTGGACAACCCAATAGCTTCTATTTAACTTCTATTTACTACTGTAATGAGAGTTAGTAGAAGCTAGAGCCTAAAATTCAATAATCTAAAATATCTAAAGTACAGCAAGCTACAGTAATCCTAAAATCACGCTAATCAATTGCAGGTGCAACAACTTTTGGCCAACAATCTCTGCCAAAATCTCGCCGCCGTTATGGACACTGAATCTTTTAAATAAACGAAAAAATCACCTTTTCTCCGCTCAAATTCTTCAATTTCTCTTTTGAAAATCCCAAAATCTCCAGAAAAAGTTCAAATCTCAGAATTTCATTTCCATTTTTTCTTTGCTAATTTATTTCTTTTCCGGGTGATATTAATCTTGAAAAAAATCATATGAATCAATAAAATTTTGATGCCATTTCAAAGAAAATTCTACAGAAATGTCTTAATTGAGCAATTTTTATTTCAAAAAACTTCTAAATTTTGTTTTTTTTGCATTAGAAATTTGCATTTAAGTCTCTTTTTCTTTAAGATATTTGGGGTAGGCTAATTTCTGGAATTTTTTTTGTGCAACTCGCGATAAATTTGTTCTAAGTGGATCAATCTTTATGATTTTGGTGTCATTTTGTTGCACTTATTGAGATCTACAAAATGAAACCAAAATCATAAAGATTGGCCGATTTAGAAGAAAGTTATGGCGTCCTTTGCTGGGTCAGTCAACTAGGTAGCTACTTTGCGCGGCTACTTTTGTGCAACTAGCCATAACTTTCTTCTAATTAGACCAATCTTTATGATTTTGGTGTCATTTTGTAGATCTCAATAAGTGCAACAAAATGAAACCAAAATCATAAAGATTGATCCACTTAGAACAAAGTTATCAGTATCAGAAAGACTACCAGTTAAATTATGGCGAGTTGCGCAAATGACCCTGTTACGCAAAAAAAAATTGCGGAAATTAGCCTACCCCAGATATTCATTTAGCCGCTAGATTTGCATTCTATTTAACTAGCAATTGATAGCTGAATATCTTATTTTTCAGGTAGAATTTAAAGATATTCAGTTATCTAGATAACTTTAGCTTTAAATCTCTATTTAACTTGGCAATTCGATAGCTGAATATCTTGTTTTTCAGGTAGAATTTAAAGATATTCAGTTATCTAGATAACTTTAGCTTTAAATCTCTATTTAACTTAGCAATTCGATAGCTGAATTTCTTGTTTTTCAAGTAAGCTTTAAAAATATTTAGTTAAATTTCCAGTATCCAACTTTAAGCTACGAGTTGAAAGGATTCATTTAGCTCGGAAATTTCCTTTTTTTATTTCTTTTTTAATTCCTTTTCGTTTCCATTTATCTCTTAATCTATAAATGCTAATTATTTTCATTTCTAAATTGCATTCAGAGATTTCCCGATTCTTCAAATTCCCTCAAACTCTTCTGAGAATCATGCGGGAATCGGTAATGCTGAGAGATGTGGCGAGAAGAGTCGATTGGGTACTCGTTGGAGGGAAATGGACGAGATTCTCCGTCATGGGCACTGATTTGAGGCAAGATTTGAGAAAAGTGAAGTGAAAAGTGAAGACTTGTATGCCTATGCGTAACAAATAGAAAGCTCAGCTCGCAATCAAAGCTGTTTCCTTTGGAAATGAATCAAAGTTTGTCAGAAATCGATCAGAAAAGATCAGAAATCGTTTACTTGCATGAAAAAATTCAGAGAAAGCTTTAAAGAGTTGTTTTGGAAAGAAAAAAAACGAAAGAAAAAGACTTTGACTTTGAATTAGCTTTGATAGCCATAGCTTTGATAGCCATAGCTTTGATAGCCATAGCTTTGACTTAGCCATAGCTTTGATAGCCATAGCTTTGACTTAGCCATAGCTTTGATAGCCATAGCTTTGATAGCCATAGCTTTGATAGCCATAGCTTTGACTTTCAGGAACTTTTTGATATCATAAAATACAGGAAAATCTAGCTTCTTTACATTTCATTAAAAGTTTAGCAGTTGATTTTGTATATCTTTAGCTTATTTCAGTCCATCTATGCTGTCAATCGAGAACAAAGGAGAAGATGATGATCGGATAATCATTTTAATGATTCCAGGTAAATCTAGATAATGTTCATAAAGATAAAGTAAAGAAATGAATGGGAAAGAAAGGAAGCGAAGGGAAGCGAAGGGAAGCGAAGGGAAGCGAAAGGAAGCGAAGGGAATTGAACCCTCGACCTTCTGTTTCTCGGGCAAATGCTCTACCATTGACAAGGGAATGATCTAAATTGGGATATTTCAGAGTGCAAACACCAGTCGGATCTAGGCATTCCAAATATCTATTCACTTTTTGCTCAAATTAAAATCCTAGCAAGAAAAATGCATTTGAAGTTTCGACCATTCGCCTTTTGTTCGCTATTTGCCTAGCCTTCGCCAAAATCGCCCTCTAGCCAATAAGGGCACGCCACACCGGACCCAACAAACAGTAGCGGTGGCCTAGGGGATAGCGTGCCGGGTTGCAGAACCAGCCACCCCCATTCTCGGCGGGTTCGACTCCCGTGGCTTTCGACTTTTTGAAAAACAGACAAATATAATTTTAAAGCCATTACAGTGATCTTTACAGTATTACAGACTTTTCAATACTAATCAAAAAAGAATTAAAGAACATTCAATTAAAGACAAAGACAAAGACAAACAATTAAAGAAGTGAGGGGTTTTACGCGGATTTCGGATATTATGTGCTTAAAAATCTTCTGGAACGAGAGGAATCGGGTCTTTCTTTCCCAGGAAATAGGGAAATAGAAAAGACAAGGAAGAAGGGAAGAAGAAAGGAAGGAAGAAGAAAGGAAGGAAGAAGAGAAGAAGAAAGGAAGGAAGAAGAGAAGAAGAAAGGAAGCAAGGAAGATAGAAAGGAAGAGAGAAAGGAAGATAGAAAGGAAGAAAGAAAGGAGGAAAGAAACTCAGAAAGCAAAACTCAGAAAGTACAGAAAAAGTAACAAATAACCGTCCTCAGAAAGAAAGAGAGAAGAGATTCCTACGAGAAGTTGATGGGAAATGTGTGAAATTCGGGAGATTTCCCGAGAAATTCAACTAAAATCTACAGATTTCTATTTGTAAATAAACTCTCAAAGCAAATTGAAAAGATAACTCATAAAATACCAGAGTACCAAAGCTTTTAGGAAACCCAGGAAATGAGGGCTTTTACGCAGATTTTGGACGTCATGTGCTCAAAAATCTTCTGGAAAGAGAGGAAAGAATCGGCGAGAAGTGAGAATTGAATAATATTAATGAATTTAAAAAACGATCAAGCCTAAATTTTTGCTTTAGAAAGTACAACTATCTCTTTTACACGGTTTCTCATTTGAATCACGTGCCAATGCCGCACGAGATTCAACACTCCGGTCAACACAAACATCATGGTCAGTGGATTTCTTTATTGCTTAAAGTTAGTGCAAAATAAGAGCCGGATTACGGTAGGAAATTGGTTTTAAATTGAATATCATTTCATTTGTGATTTCTATTTGGTATAAATTTGCTCTATTTGTTGATTAAAAAGTTTTATAATAATTAAAAAGATTAAAAAGTCTCTTTAATATTATTTTAATCAATTTCTCTTATCTTATCTTATCAAAAAACTTCTAAACTTTATATTTTCAAGATCATTTAATAAGCTTATTTTATAAATTTTCGTTTCAGATCGATTCAAGCTCGATGAACAGGTGCAACACAAGCTCGACTTCATCCGCGAATATTTGCCACGAGGACAAAGGGTTTACCTTTTCGGACACTCCATCGGGTCTTACATGATGCTCAAGTGAGCTTAGAAATTGCTGTAAACACTCTACTATCCTTTCTCATCATTTTAGAGGATTGTTGAACTTTTGATATGCGCTGCGCCTCCTTTGCCATTGGCAATCTAACTTTGAGCTCAAATATCTTTGTGTTGGGCTGTCCAATTTAAATATTTTTGATATCATTGGATGCGCCAAGTCCTTCTCTGTCGATTGGTACAAAAACGATTTAAATTGAACAGCCCAACACCGAGAAATTTGAGCTTAAAGTTGGACTGCCAATGGCAAAGGGAATGGGGCCTTGTGGGACCTTGTGGGACCTTTTATAGACGCCCCGCCCCGGCAATCGAACGAGATCAAGAGGATTTAAATGGAACAGCTTTTTCCATTTAAATTTTCGAGCCCAAAGTTAGATTACCAATGGCAAAGGGGGCAGGGGCCGTATAAAAGGTCCGTCGCCCTCCTTTGCCATTGGCAATCCAACTTTGAGCTCAAATTTCTTCCTGTTGGGCTGTCCAATTGAAATAGCTTTTGTACCAATCGACAGAGAAAGACTTGGCGCATCCAATGATATCAAGAATATTTAAATTGAACAGCCCAACCTCCAGATATTTGAGCTCAAAGTTAGATTGCCAATGGCAAATGAGGCAGGGCGCGTATCAAATGTCCGATAACCCGATTAAAGTATTTATCAGCTTTCATTTGCAATCTTTTCTAGAATCCTTCCCTATATCAAAGATGACTACAATATTCGGAAAGCTGTTGGCCTTTTCCCGACCGTTGAACGAATGGCTCTCTCTTACAACGGACAACGATTGGGACGATTGTTAGCAGTATGTTGAACATTTAAATTGAATCTAAATCCTTTTTAATCTTAGAAATGTTTCAATTAGGTGCTAAAAACCAGTTTTCTATAAGATCATCGATAAAGAAATCACTAAATTTGAGTTATAGCTCGTTATTTTTTAACGATCGATACGATCGATCGATTTTTTTAACGACATAAAAATTATTTATCGATTCTACGATCATAAAATCTTAAATATATATAGAAAATGATGTAAATTTTCATTAAAAAAAAAGAAATTCATCGTTTTGTTCTAAAATAAAAGAAAAATGAATAAAAAAGGTTATTTTTGGTCACCTTGTATTGTGGATGATCTTGTCTAGCTCGTAAAACCAGATTTTTAATACTTTGTAAGTCTATAAAAGATTATAACACTGTTAAAGGCTGCTTGTTACTAAGAAAACAGTTAAAAACTAGCCATTTAGACTCTGAACGAGAACGATTGGCTGGCGAAAGCGATCTCATTTTGGGTGGATCATCTTCCGTTTCCCGTCAAAAGATGGCTCGTCGGTTTCAATCTTGGACAAGAAAGTGTTCGTTTTACTTCAAAAAAAGACATACCGTAAATACTGTAATAGTACCCCAGTCCCATAATGACGGTGCGGAGTGTTGCGTAGTCTAGCTTTAAACGAGTTTTTCTCGACACTGGTTTATGCTACAATGCTCGTTTTGATATCAAAAAATAGCTGAAATTCAGGGCTATTTTTTGATACCAAAACGAGCATTGTAGCATAAACCAGTGTCGAGAAAAACTCGTTCAAAGCTAGACTACGCAACACTCCGCACCGTCATTATGGGGATGGGGTACTATTAAAGTATTTACGGTATTATTATAAGTGTTGACAAGAAAGTGTTCGTTTTACTTCAAAAAAGACATACCGTAAATACTGCAATAGTACCCCAGTCCATAATGACGGTGGAGTGTTGCGTAGTCTAGCTTTAAACGAGTTTTTTCGACACTGGTTTATGCTACAATGCTCGTTTTGGTATCAAAAAATAGCCCTGAATTTCAGCTATTTTTTGATACCTATTGTAGCATTGTAGCATAAACCAGTGTCGAGAAAAACTCGGTCAAAGCTAGACTACGCAACACTCCGCACCGTCATTATGGTATGGTACTATTACAGTATTTACGGTAGTTTATAAAGATTCACATTTGAAACTAAATCTAGGTGCCGATTGATGTGACAAAAAAGTGCAACCGAGATCCTGCACATGAACGTTTTTCGAAATATCGTGCACATGTCAGCGGATGAGTTGATAAAGGTAGCTGGGCTACAATTCTATTATTTTAAAGTTCTATAATTCAATTCGTAACTTGAGAATTGATCAAAATCTTGCCAGTAAATAGCTTCTTTTTTCTATCTTTTCTTTAGGTAACTGAACTGGATTTGACGCTTTTGGCGCACAAAGATATCACGCATATGTACTACGGGACTTGCGACGGATGGGTGCCGAATACATACGGTAAGCCGCTCAGCAAAGCCAGGGACATTCTAAAATAAACTCTTTGGGCAAATCAAGATCAGAATCAGGTTTAGCCTTCTCTTAAGCTTGAATTCTTTTCTTTTGTGGTCACTGATCCATTTTCAGAAAACCGATTTCTTTTCACCTATTTCCAGAAGCTCTATTTATCTTCTTATTATCAAATAAATACTATCAAACACTTAAAAATTGATTTTAGTTCTTTAACTTGCTAAAGTGCTAAAAGCAAAAAAGTTTTGACCTTGAGGGGATCCGAACCAGGGATGCTAGGGGCTAAGACCCAGCACCCTAACCACTACACTATCCAGCCACCGCGACATGGAATTAATTCAGCCTCATATCACACCGTTTGCCAAAAGCTGCCCAAAATTTAAAAGCACTTTTCTCGAAACTGGATGCTATAGAGTAAAACTGATAAATCCGTCGCCTCTGGAAGAGGCTTCATGGTGTAGTGGGTAGTGGGTTAGGATTAGGACGGTTAGGACGGCGTAGCTACTCGAGGGTTCGAATCCACCCACTGTCTTCTTTTTGTTTTTTTGAAAAAACTTTTTATCATAGCTGTACACGTATTCCATTGCCACGAGGATACTCTTACTTACTCCCGGACTAGCCTCGGAGCTGGTCTTGGAGCTGACTTGACTAGCTAATTCAATCCTCATCGTTGCCGTGTCCCTTAGAATTTCAAGTTGACTTTTCTGCGTGTTTCCATATGCTAAGTTGGAACAGTTCCCTAGTCTGATTCCAGAATTGTATGATGATCAGGAGTGGGATAAAAGGCAAGTCCTGGTTTGGTTCTGGTTTGGTCCTAGCCCTGGGCTGACCCTGATGATCTGGCTTCTGTTCTACGCTCTGATGATCTGGCTTCTGTTCAAAATGAACGATTTAGGCAAGATTAGTTGGTTAGTTGATCTGACTCTGACTTACTATTAGACAATTGCCGTCTTGGCCCTGACACTGACCTGGGTTGGTCTAGTAAATGAATTTGTTGCTTAAATGTTGTAAAGAATTTGAATTCAGGTGAGGCGATGAAGGATTTATTACCGAAAGGCCATGTGATCTTTGACGAAAACGATTCTGAGCACGCTTTCGTGATCCGAGACGGCGATATCGTAGCGCAACGAGTGATCAATTACATTAATTAAAATTGCAGATTATTATCAAACTTTTAAAGCAATTCTTACTCAGAAGCAGAAGCTGTAAGTTTTACAGTAATCTGTCTACAACTACATGCTTATAGGCTACAGATTCCTGTATGCTACAGATTCCTCTATGCTACAGATTCCTGTAGACTACAGATTCCTGTATGCTACAGATTCCTCTATGCTACAGATTCCTGTAAGCTACAGATTCCTGTAGGCTACAGATTCCTGTATGCTACAGATTCCTGTATGCTACAGATTCCTGTATGCTACAGATTACTGTCTGCTACAGATTCCTGTATGCTACAGATTCCTATAGACCACAGATTCCTCTATGCTACAGATTCCTGTAGGCTTACAGTACAATCTGTTCTTTTGTTTGCTTGTAATTGCTTGTAATTGCTTTGCTCAAGATTTCTAGTCCCATTTCTCTAAAAAACAATTATTTATGTTCACTTTTTTGTGTTCTACCGGTATAAAAACTTCTACTTTTTACTTTTTACAACAAAAAAGCATTTTTTTCCTAATAAAACCGTGTTTTTCAGTTTTTCAACAATTCTAGCTTGTAATTTATTAAATTTTGACGAAATTAGTCAAAAAAACTATAGCCAGTCTTATATTGAATCAAAATTCGCAGCGGGCAGGATTCGAACCTACGCGGGAAGAGCCCAATTGATTTCTAGTCAATCTCCTTGTCTTTCATTCTGATCTAACTTCATTTTTGTTTATTGAACCAAGTTTTAACAAAAACAATTTCATTTCAGATCATTGAAAGGTTCAAAAACAACTAAGAGAGTCACAAAGAGTCACTAAGAGACTCAGAGAGTCAATCTGAACTATTTTAGTGCTTTGGCAGAGGTAAGCATTTACCTTTTTCTAAAATCTGCCCCTTTTTTCGTTCTACCGTAATCTTGTCTCTATTTTTATCTGATCTATCCACTTTTTTCTAATCCTTTTCTCATGATTCTCTTTTCTCTTTTCTCTTTTCTCATCTTCTCAACACCAGCTTTTTAATGCAATCTTTTATCAAAACAATTTCTATAATGTAATCAAATTAATTATTGAATAGAATAAAGCTGGTTGACAAAGAGTATTAAAAGATATAAAGTGGATAGATTGCGATAGAAAATAGAGAGAAGATAGAAAGAGAAAGAGAAAGAGAAAGAGAAAGAGAAATGGTTTAGAAAAGTCACTAAAAGTCACTAAACTAGAAGCTAACTAGAAGCTAACTAGAAGCTAATCAGAAGCTAGCCAGAAGCTAACTAGAAGCTAATCAGAAGCTAATCAGAAGCTAGCCAGAAGCTAACTAGAAGCTAACTAGAAGCTAACTAGAAGCTAACTAGAAGCTAACTAGAAGCTAACTAGAAGCTAACTAGAAGCTAACTAGAAGCTAGCTAGAAGCTAACCAGAAGCTAACTAGAAGCTAACTAGAAGCTAATCAGAAGCTAGCCAGAAGCTAACTAGAAGCTGATCAGAAGCTAATCAAAAGCTAACTATTGGGTTGTCCAGTTATGAATGCGCGTTTTTACTATTTTGTAAATTTCTCAAGATATCGAACAGATGTATATGAGTGTTAAATACCATTCGAAAGCTGAAGATCTCCTCTACATTTTGGAATAAAAAAAGTTTTTGAATTCATTCAACTTTTTGGGAAATTGACTGCACAAAGGGAGAGGTCGTTTTCGAAAAAAAAACCATTTCAGCTTAGCTATTCCTCAAGTTTTATGGTGTAAAATAACTGCCCAGAAAAGAAAAGTAAAGTAAAGATGCTCTGAAATTGTTATATTTTAAAAAAAGTTATATTGATATATCTATGGGCTAAATATCAAACGGTTAACTCAATTTGAGCGGAGCCAAAACTTGATCCAAAGGCACCCTTCCATTTTTTGGCCACCTCTTCTTCTGTGCAGTCAATTTGCCCAAAAGCTGAACAAATTCAAAAACTTTTTATATCAAAATGTAGAGGAGATCTTCAGCTTTCGAATAATACTCATCTATATCTTTTTCTTGATTTCGGTATCTTGAGAAATTTGCAAAATAGTAAAAAACGCGCATTCATAACTGGACAACCCAATAGAAGCTAACTAGAAGCTAATCAGAAGCTAACTAGAAGCTAACTAGAAGCTAACTAGAAGCTAACTAGAAGCTAATCAGAAGCTAACTTCCAAAAACCATTATCCCTCAAAATTGCAAAGCTTTACATCACTTATCCTGATCGTGAATTCATTTTTTTTCTTTGACCGACAGAAAAAGCTGTGTTCTGATTAGTTCAGAAAGGGGAAAAAAAGAAAAATTTCTGTTTCTTCTTTCTTTTTCTTCTTTTCATCGCATTGAAAAGACCATATGATGCAAGGTTGAGTGTCTATGGTCTTTTATTTGTGATAAGGAAATGAAAAGGACGAGTCCAATTAAATAGGCATTCAGAGTCATTCAAACCACTTTAAAATAGAGATTTTTATGATTTATGGCAACTTTGGTTAAAGTTTTCCTTATAATGAAATAAAATTTAGTCTTTTTGCCTTGTTTCTTGTCTTCTTTTTGCTTTTTTGGTGCTGTTTTAGTGTTATTTTGTTCTTTATTTTGATTCTTTTAAAGTATAATGATAATTTGACAAAACTTGAACGAGAATGATTGTCAAAGACCTAGCCAGAAGTTAACAGAAGTTAAATAGAAGCTAATAGAACCTAACTAGAACCTAACTAGAACCTAACTAGAAGCTAACTATTGAATTCCTGAATTGAAAACTGCCGGCTATTGTCATATGCAACACTTTGAGCACTTTCTTCAAAAGAAACCCATTTTGGTGTCAATGGAAAAGTTGTAGAGAATCAAAAATCAAGCTTATATCCAAATTTTCAGAACGATTCAAAAACTAGTTTTCAAGAAATGCCAAATTTACGAATTTTCACAAAACTTGCAACAAAAAATTGCATTTTAAGCGAAACTACTAAGTGTATCTTTGTGGAAATTTGGCTATAAGCCTAATTTTTGATTCTCTACAACTTTTCTATTGACACCAAAATGGGTTTCTTTTGAAGAAAGTGCTCAAACTGGGCTGACAGCTGACATCTCCAGTCCTCCATTTTTGAGTCTCACACTTGTCTCACACACAAACCAAAATCCTACTACGAAAGAGGAATCCGCAAATTGCCTGTAAAATGGGCAGAAGTCGTCAATAATAATGGAAATTATTTGGAATGAATTTATGGTTTTATGTTGAATAAATTTTAGTTCAAAGTCCGGCAGTTTTCAATTCACCAATCCAATAGAAGCTAATCAGAAGCTAACTAGAAGCTAACTAGAAGCTAACCAGAAGCTAACTAGAAGCTAATCAGAAGCTAACCAGAAGCTAACTAGACGCTAACTAGAAGCTAACTAGAAGCTAACTAGAAGCTAACTAGAAGCTAACTAGAAGCTAACTAGAAGCTAATCAGAAGCTAACCAGAAGCTAACTAGAAGCTAACTAGAAGCTAACTAGAAGCTAACTAGAAGCTAACTAGAAGCTAACTAGAAGCTAACTAGAAGCTAACTAGAAGCTAACTAGAAGCTAACTAGAAGCTAACTAGAAGCTAACCAGAAGCTAACTTGAAGCTAATCAGAAGCTAACTAGAAGCTAACTTGTAGCTAACTAGAAGCTAATCAGAAGCTCTCCAGAATAATTGCCAATGACTCCAACAACTGGCTTAAACATCTGGCATCTGGCGCAATTATAGAATAATTCTATTCTTTAACCACAATCTTTTTTAAATTCGATTTTCCTTTGTTATATTATTTAGATTTATTCTATTTTATTTTATTCACTGATTTTCGGCTCTTTGCCTAAAGCTATTTTGCTTTTAAATTGTCGAAATCAATTCAATCAATCAATTCTGGTTAAAATACCCTTTTCTTTTCCAGTTCCTGGTACGATTCCTTTATTTACTGCAGTATAAAGTCTAAATCTTTAAATATGATATCTCTATCGATTATCTTTTAGAGATGTGCTCAGTGAACGTCCTGTTGGTCATTTCGATCATTGGAATCTCCGCTGGAGTCATGGCTGGATTGATGTTTGGAGGAGAATACCATGTAAGTCTAGCTAATTGAAAAGTTTTGCCAAAATGAAAACCGATCTTGATGTAATAAATTAAAGTCATGTAGCTTATTAATTTCAAATTAAAGCTCAGAGTCATTCAAAGCACTTTGAAATAGAGATTTTTATAATTTATGGCAACTTTGGTTAAAGTTTTCCTTATAATGAAATAATAATAATCATATTTAGTTTTTTTTTGGCCCTTTTTTCTTTTTTTTTTTTTTTTTTGTTTTTGTGCTTGTTTTATTTTTTTTTTTTTGTTCTTTTTAGTATAATGAAAATTTTAAAAAAAAAAAAGAGAAAAAAAAAAAAAAAATAAAGAAAAAAAAAAAAGGTAAAAAAAAAACAAAAAAAAAAAAAAAAAGTTTAAAAAAAAAAAAAAGAAAAGAAAAAAAAAAAAATAAGGAAGAAAGGAGGAGGGAAAGGAAAAAAAAAAAAAAAAAGAAAAGGGATCTTTACGGTTAAAGGCGGGGGCGAATTTTTTGGCCAACTTGCAACTCATTTTTAAGCACCTTAAACTTTTCAGATTAGAAAGTTTTTATAAGATTTAGATAGCTTAGAATGCCAGCTTTCAGAAATTATTTGTTTTATTAAAATCTATTAACATAAACCTATCTAAAATCGGGCTCAAAGACTTGGCTACCCCAGTCGCCTCCGTTAAGCGTAAAGGTTCAAAAAAGTCAAATTATCTATCAAATTATCTATTTTTTTATGAAATTAACTTTAGAACTGGTCGACTTGCACGATGGCTTTCATTTCAGCCATTTTTGCTTCATACGTCAGTTATTTACATCTCGCTTACAAGAAGAATTGGATGGTGACCTGGGAACCGGCCAAGTACAAGCTTGGGTTTTGGATTGGTGAGTTGATTCATGAGAAATGAGAAATGTTTCAAGAACAGGTTTGTTCTAAAGACAATTTCATGGATCAAGAGTCAGGAAGTCAGGTTCTAAACAGGTTTTAGTAAAAGGCTAGCTAACAAAGTTAGAACTCAAGCTTTTTCCCTGGCTTTACAGTCAATAGAGCAAGCTTGTTCTAAAGACAATTTCATGGATCAAGAGTGAAGGAGTCAGGTTCTAAACAGGCTTGTTCTAAAGAGAATTTCATGGATCAAGAGTCAAGAAGTCAGGTTCTAAACAAGCTTTAGTAAAAGGCTAGCTAACAAAGCTAGAACTCAAGCTTTTTCCCTGACTTTACAATCAATAGAGCTGTTTTTTCCCCTTACTTTACAGTTAATAGAGCAGGCTTGTTCTAAAGACAATTTCATGGATCAAGAGTGAAGGAGTCAGGTTCTAAACAGGCTTGTTCTAAAGAGAATTTCATGGATCAAGAGTCAGGAAGTCAGGTTCTAAACAAGCTTTAATAAAAGGCTAGCTAATAAAGCTAACAAGTTCTAGCTAACAAAGCTAGAACTCAAGCTTTTTCCTTTACTTTATAGCCAATAGAATTGTTCAATTAAAGATTAAGCTTCCCTTTCAATTCTAAAAATCAATCGTTTCTAAGAGAGACCTGAGATTGAGCTTTAATTTTTAATCTCAAAGTTGCCACTTCATTCTTTCGGAACATTTTAGTGAACTTTAAACTAGAAACTTGTAGAAATTAGTTACTTTTAAATAGAAACTTGTAAAAACTTAGTTTTAAACTATAAATATTCAATTTTCAAATACTTTCTAAATCGAATAAACAATAAACTTCTCTTTCAGGACTTCTCGTGTTTATTGCTTCTTTCTTGGGAATGATCGGATGCCTAATTGCGGCCGGTATCAAGAAACAAGGATTGACTCATGATGGTGAGAATTTTAGATTTATTTGTTATCTTTCTTCCTTTCTTTCTTTCTACCTTTCTTTCTTCCTTTCTTTCTTCTTTTCTTTCTTCCTTCTTCCCTTCCCTTTCTTTCCTTCTTTCTGTTGGCAATTTAACGTACTGGATAGGTCAATAGTTAAAGAAATTAGAAAGCAAAAGATCGAGGATTCAATCTATTTTTCCTTGCCTTTTCAATCCTTGCCAATTCCTTTACAAAAAACTTCAATCCAACTGAGATACTGGCTCAATTTTTATCAAAGAAAAGCCTTATCTTTTGTATTTTTTATTTACAGAGAAAAAGTTTGAATTTCTTGGGAATTTGGAGATAAACTTTACTTGATAATCCTTAAAAACTTGCAAAAATAGGTTAGCTTTCTTCTAGTGCTTCAAAAAATCGTTCAAAAGATGTGAAGAATTGAACTCAAGCAAAAAGTAGATGGCGTGCCTTGTATCCGGCGCTGCTTAGTTACACAATTTATTAAAGAATCCAGCTGTTCCCGGTTTCAACCCCTCCAGCCTGCACTACTATTACAGAAAATACGGTTTCCGATTGGTGTTTGCAGCTTTTCCTGATTCCAATTTAGATCATTTGTTTGTTAGCACTTTCGATTCCTCAGATCCATTCCTCAGATCCATTCCTCATTTCTATTCCTCAGTTCCATTCCTCAGTTCCATTCCTCAGTTCCATTCCTCAGTTCCATTTCTCAGTTCCATTTCTCAGTTCCATTCCTCAGATCCATCTCTTTTTTCTCAAACAATCTCAGAAATCAGAGTTTATCTCAGAAAGCAGCAAATGATTTTCAAAATTTCAGAGCTAATGGGCGAAAACTTGTGGATGACGGCCGTTTGGTGTTTCATGACAGCGAAATGGTCGTCTCAAACGGCCGTTTTCTCTCGTCGATACTCGTCGGCGGTGATGCGTCCACTCACAAAAACATCGCCAATTCACTCAACAGTTCAACTTTATTAAAACGATCACATCGTTAACAGCTTTGTTTATCGATAACAGCTTTGATAACAGCTTCGATAACACCTTTGTTTTTGTTTATCTTTCAGTTTTTCACCTTAATTTCATCCATTTCATCCATTTTTTTATAATTTTTTTTTATTTTTGCTATAACTTTCCTGAATTTCACTTAAAACACAGGGTTTTTGAGTTTTGATTTTTAAAATTGTCACTTTTCACTTACTAAATCTTCTTTATTAGATTCTATTTCTTAGATTTGATTTTTTATTTTCATTTTCTTTATGTACAGTCATAATTTCATAGATCTCCTTATCAATTAAATAAAAAATTTTTTGATAAAATCAACTTTTCAACGAAAAACTTTCAATCAAATACAAGAAAATCAAATTTTTTTTAATGTTTTAAGTGAATAATTAGGCTTTTAAAGCTCTTAACTTTATCTAGAGATCATATTATTTTGAACTTTTTATATAATTCAATAAAAGAAACATCTGGCTTTGATTTCTTCTGTTTTATGCTTGATTTTATTGAGTTCATCTACTTAATTTTCAGAAACTGATCGAATTTCCCTTTTGAGTAAATGTTTTGACTTTTCAGAATAATTGAAATGATGTCATTTATCTCTAATTTATCATATACTTAAATTTGAAACGATAATGCTTATCCCTCATTTTTTTGAGTCTTTTTCCTATAGTTGTTAACCCTTTTGTTTAATTTTTTGTTTTTAAAGAGAATCGGAAAAACGATCGGCACAAGATTGATCATAGACAAGAGAAAGGACTCATGAAATGTTGTTAAATGAATTTGCAAAAGAATCATTCTCATCCTTCTTAAAAACGAAGGAAAAAGTCGAATCGGAATCGATCGGAATCGAACCCGAGAGGAAGTCGAGTATCAGTCGATCGCCTTGCCAACGCACTATCCACTAGGCCACCCGGTCACAATTGGCTAAGGGCGAAAAAGACCTCTTAACCTCTAGGAGCCAAAAGGAAGGCATTAGTTATTGCTAACAATATTTTTGAGTTGCTTCCGCTTGAACGGCCATTTCTGCTCACTAAAAATTGCTAACAATCTGAAACTTCTTTTTTCAGAAAGCCAATATTATAAGCTTCATTTTGATATTAAAAAGTGTGTCAAACTCTTTCAAATAGTACTCAAAAAATCACCTTACAATTGCTAGCCTTAATGAGGCCTCGTTAAGGCCTTGTTAAGTATCAATAACTTTTTATAATACTTTTTTTGAAGATTTTTGTTGAATGTTTGGTATCAAAATGAAGCTGATAATCTAGGCTTTCTAATAGAAAAAAACTTCAAATTGCTAGCAAGTTCCAATCCAGTGATATGACTGATCAAACTTCAAGCCTCGGTAAGCCTTCAACTTTAAATTATTTAGAACAAATTTCCAGTTGAATATCTTTTTTTGTCATCTACAAAAAAGGCTCTATTTGGTATCATTCGAAAGCCTCAAATGTTCTCTAAACAATGATATAAAAAGCTAAGCTTTAAACGATCTCAAAGCAAAGTTATGCACTTTCAAAACGACCTGCTCCTACAAAATTCCATTTTTACCAAAATCTCCACTACAAAACTGATCAAAAAAGGATTTTCTAAACGAACTTGTTAGCGTTTTCTTTAAATTTTCCAAAATTCTTGAGAATTTTCTCATTAGACCACAAAATTTGTGCCGATTTTGTTCATTTTAAACTCTAGAATTCACAAATTCACATGAGAACTTCAGGAAAAGCTTTAAAATTTCGAAAATTCATTTCCTAAACTCAAAATGACAAATTCAAGCGCGAATTTCTGGGGAAATTTGACGATTTATGATGGAATCGATGTGGGAGTCACGATTTTCATCATTTTTCTCGACATCTATCTTGTTTCTGCTTTATTTTCGAATAAGCGATCGATTCCCGTTTTTTTCTTGCTCAAAGTTTTCCTAATAAGTGATATTTTTGATCAATTTGGACGCTTTCCACACGACAAATTGTGTATTTGGTTTGAGAAAGAGGTTTTTCGTGAGTTTTTAGCGCTATTTTAAAGGAAATATTCGAAAATTATATTAAATTGAGGAAAAAGTAATGTCGGTTTTGAATTCTCGTGGTTGGCAATGCGATTTTTTATTATTTGTGATATTTGATTGTGAATTCCTGTACAAATTTAACAATATTTTCAAGAACAAAATGCAAGACCAAAAGTTTCGACTTCGAGCCGCTTTGTGGTATGATTTTAAACAAGGAAAATCCGCGGCTGACTCGCATCGGACAATCATTGAAGCTTTTGGGGAAGAGCGCATTAGCGAAAGACTTGTGGTATGATTTTAAATAAGGAAAATCGAAACTTACACAGAAACTTCATCTGTTGAGGGTCGAACAGATCTAATCTGGATTTTGAAAGGAAGAAAGTTGTCGAATCGGAAGATCGCAAAAAAAAAATGAAGCGCTCGCACCAAGTTGTCTCAAATTTCTTGAAGGATCCTTTCAAGTATGGCAAGAAAAAGTCTCCGGGACGTCGTCGAAAGCTCACGGCAACGGCAAGCTCCATTTGCCGTTGCCGCACGCGCTGAACGGCATAACGTCTGTTATCGAATTCGGTGATGTAGCTACAGGACGCCAAGGTACGAATTGGAGCTCCCGTCCACAAAAGCACTCTTTCTCGAGCCATCAAGTGTTACATCCGTTACATCAAAAGATCAGTCATGAAGAAAGCACCAAAACTGAAGCCGGCACACAAAGAAAAAAGGATGTCTTGGGCTCGGGATCACATCACCATCGATCGGAAAAAAAGTAAACTTTTTTGCCTTGAGTTGTTAACTATTTTTTCTTTGTAGGTCATCTTCAGCGATGAGAAAAAATTTAATTTGAATGGTCTCGACGGCAACAAGTACTATTGGCACGATAGATTTCAGCTAGACACTCTATACTTTCAAAACATATCTAATTTTTACAAATTTTTACAAATTTAACAATATTTTCAAGTACAAAAGTGCAAGACAAAAAGTTTCGACCTCGATCCGCTTTGTGGTATGTTTTTAAATAAGGGAAATCGAGGAGCTTTGTTGGAAACTTCTGCCCCAATCTCAACGCCGTCCAACTCTTCAAACATAGCATTGGTCTTCTTGGCGGTATGCCGCTTGGCATTGTCTTGCTGGAGGCTCAAGTCCTACTAAGTCTTGTCTTGCTCTTGTCTTGTTTGGTCCGGATCTGACCCCATCAGATTATTTTTTGTTTCGGTCGTTGAAGAGTTTTCTTCTGGGAGAAAAGTTCGAGAATCATGCACAGATCAAAAAAAAAGCAGCAGTCGACACTTATTTTGGCTCGAAAACTCCCCATTTTTTTCTGAGGATGGGATCAGGGACTTGTGACAAAGATGGGAACAAACCATCAATAATAATTGAGAATATATCATTGATGTGCGTTTGTTTATGTTTTTAGCAATAAACAGTTTTGTGACAAACACCGACATTACGTTTTCCTCAACCTAATAGTAATATTATTGAGATTTCATAGAAATTATTTACTTTTAGCTCCATTTCTCGTCAATCTTTGCGCATTTTTTCAACTTTTTCGATGGTATCTTCAGCTAATGCTTATCCCGTTGTTAAGTGTTTTCCATTTTTGCTCACTAGCTTATCCGATTAAATATCGGAGTCTTCGAGTCAAAGATACGGTCATGATCCTGTTAATCCTATGCATTTTACCATCAGGTTTGTTTTATTCGCTTTTTTTTCAGAGTTTTTCAAAGAGTTTTTTCAAATAAAGGATTCACTTTTGTGCAATACGCGGAATGCTGTGGTTTCATCTATCATCTCGATGGTTTTTACTGGAATTTTGATGAAACAAAGGACTCGCATATGTTCATGCAAATTTCGACCTGGGTTTTGCAGGTGGGAATGGCTTTTTTTTGAGTCCAGTCTTTAGAGAAGATAGAAAAAATCACAAGCGAAGCCAAGCTTGATTAAGAAAGCCAAGCTTGATTAAGAAAGCCAAGCTTGATTAAGAAAGCCAAGCTCGATTAAGAAAGCCAAGCTTGATTAAGAAAGCCAAGCTTAACTCAACAAAGCCAAGCTTAACTCAACAAAATCAAGCTTAGCTCAACAAAATCAAGCTTGTGCAGGTTCTTCAGTGTCCTGTATTGCTTAAAGATATTGTAGAATCCTAGTACGCTGTTCGTTAAAGTATTATAAGTGCTTTATTGATAGAAAAGTAACCTACTCTTTAGCCCATTCGAAACTTCTGCAGCGAATAATGGCTGCAGCAAAAACTCAGGAACGGACCGCTGCAGCGATTATTCGCTGCAGCGCTAATTGAGCTATTTTCATTCAATTAATTGCTTTTTTTTTGCTGTTTTTCAGCATTTATGTATATTCCAATTGTAACAGATCTACAAATTACGTGGGCAAAAAAGATGTGTCATATTTACCCGGAATCAATGCAGCCTCTGGTTTTGCATTGAAATGTTCCATAATAGCTCTAATCTTATAAAGCCGATCTCCTGCAGGATCCAGTTCATTATCACAAAAACGCAGGTTGCGAAGAATAGATTCAAATTTTGGGATGTGGGAAAATGTGGGATACATAATGTGGGACATGTGGGAAAATCCTCCTAATCCAGGCCTGCTACTCCAGTGTGGGACATGTGGGAAAATCCTCCTAATCCAGGCCTGCTACTCCAGTAGTCACGAATCCTCGGTAATTTGACGATTCCCATTTGAAGCCAGGAAGAGCTTGAAAGATTTTACATCGAAAGCCTGCCAATTTGTTTTCCTTTTTCCATGTTTATTAGATTCGCCTACTAACATATTGATTAATTTGTCGTCGATAAAATAAGAACAATAATCGATAGGATCTTGAAAGGTACTGAAGTCAAATCCAAATCGTTCTCCATCAAAAATAAATGGTGTAGGAGACTCTCTTACATCTTTCCAACCATAAATAAACTGCTTCGGAGTCAAAAATCTCAAAAAAGGGCTTGGTCCGTAGACGAAAAAAAAGAAAAAACGCTGCGGTTTCGAATGGGTTAACAAGAAAAGTCAAAAAAATCGGCTATCCCAGAATTGATCAAGTTAACCCTTTTTGTCGAAAATCATTCTGAAAATTGTTCAAATAATGTCGTATTTTCGATAAGTTATCTAAAAGTTATGTCGATAAACTAAAAGTTAAGATTAAAATCCTGAGGGTAGCCTGGCTGTTTTGCCGGTTTTATTTGAGCAACCCAAGTTTTCAAACCAATCGGACCTAGAAGTATGAAAGTGAGTCATTCGGTCAGTCACAGTACCTACTGTGACTCACTGTGGGTTCAGCTTTGGACTCATAGTCTAGCTTTGGACTCATAGTCTAGCTTTAGACTCATAGTCTAGCTTTGAACTCATAGCCCAGCTTTGGACTCATAGTCTAGCTTTAGACTCATAATCTAGGTTTGAACTCATAGTCCAGCTTTGGACTCATAGCCCAGCTTTGAACTCATAGTCCAGCTTTGGACTCAAATCCTCGGTGATTCTTTGGGATTTCGGGGCGTCCAAGTGACACTTTTCTGGCCCAGAATTTCACGGAGAATCGAATAGCACTATTTGCGGAACGATTCAAACAACTTTGCTGAACAAAATTTTCAAAAGTGCAAGTTTTTCTTAAAGAATTTTGAACTCTTGAAAATTTTGTTTAACAAAGTTGCTCGTATCGTCCTGCAAATGGTACAATTCGAATCTCCGGGAAATTCTGGGTTAGAAAAGTATTACTTGGACGCCCCGAAATCCCAAAGAATCACGGAGGATTTGAGTCCAAAGCTGGACCATGAGTTCAAAGCTGGACTATGGGCCTAGAGCTCGACTATGGGTCTAAAGCTGGACTATGAGTTCAAAGCTGGGCTATGAATCCAAAGCTGGACTATAAGACCAAAGTTGGACCCACAGTGAGTCACAATAGGTACTATGACTGACCGAATGACTCACTTTAATACTTTCACTTGGAGTCCAAAGTAGTCAAACCGGGAATCTTGGTTTTCCGATAAGAGAAACTCAAAATTCCTGGTTTAGATTGGTCTGAAAACTTGAGAATTCTCATTGGTTTGAGTTTGGTTGTAGTTTGGTTGTAGTTTGGTTGTAGTTTGGTTGTATTTTGGTTGTAGTTTGGTTGTAGTTTGGTTGTAGTTTAATTTTAGTAGCTTTGAAAGATTCTGTCAGCATAATAGTATAGAAACTTTTGGTTATTTAACAGTAATCTCTCAGCAGTTTACTCAATCAATCATTAATTAATCAAACAAATAAATGAAAAATGAAACCTTTTTATATTATAAATAAGAAAAATACTTGAATTTTCAGTCAATAGCCGGTCTCTCGTTAATCCTCGCCGATATGTATCTTGTCTTAAAATTACGACAAATTCGATTCTCCTCGAGAAAAGTCGAGCGATTAGCTGTTCCCATTTCTATCGCTACAATCACCAATGTCACAAATTTAGGTAGAGTTTAAATTAACGTTAATTTAAACGATTTAAACGATTTAAACGACTTTATAGCTTTACTCATCTAAATTTAATTTTGCAGAGAGTACAATGAAAGAAAATCCACCTGCTCAAGCTCAAGCTGGCATTATTGTACTTTCGAATTTCGGGAATCGAAGGGGAACGGTTTGTTTTAAAAGAAAGAATAAAAGGCAAGCACTTTATACCAAAGAACTTTGCCAGAAAGCAAGCGAACCGCACAAAGAACACTTTACCAAACAATATTTGATTCATTGAAAGTACTTTGAACTACTTGAAAGTACTTTGAACTACTTGAAAGTACTTTGAACTACTTGAAAGTACTTTGAACTAATTGAGAGTACTTTGAACTACTTGAGAGTACTTTGAACTACTTGAAAGTACTTTGAACTACTTGAAAGTACTTTTAAATCTTTCAGATTTTCGCATCACCAGAAACTCGTCTCTCATTCGCTTTTATCTATTTCAGTCTTGGCTTTGGTCTTGCAAATGTTTCTTTTTATGTATTAAATGGGTAAGAAAAGGTTTTCTAAGAAAAGGAAAAGGTCTTTATTGCAAAATTCCAAGCTCTCACCATAATTCAGCACAAATCTTTCAGGAAAACCGGTTTCTTGTTCTCGCTTTGTGGATGGATTTCCACGCTAATCGAGTACACAAAATATATCGGATATTTGAGCTCGATTAGAAGAAAATAAAAGAGAAAACACGGAAAATCGCTACAAAATGTATTTTTTTCATTTAAACCAATGAAAGTAGACTATAAAGTGACTATAAAGTGAAATTTTAAACGCATTTACTTTACACAATTCTTCACAAAGGAAAAACAAAGATAGAAAACTTGATTACCTGAAAATTTAAGAGAGAATTTAAGCTAAACTTAAGCTTAAGCTTATAGCTTCAAGTGGCTTAGCTTGGCTTAAACTGGGCATGGATTGATTGAGTTAGACTTGGCTGGATGAGCTGTCAATTCACTAAAAACAGCAGTGACCTTAAGCAGGGTCAGAGTGGGTGAGCATAAATCAACTAAACGTCCGAATACGTTCCGTAATTCAGTGCCACTATGTACTATGTGCGTAAGTTTCAAGTGGCTTAGCTTGGCTTAAACTGGGCATGGATTGGCTGAGCTAAACTGAATTTTGCATGGTGGCAATGGTGGCGTATGGTTTTGCACCGGGTGAATTTTCGTTTTTTGGCTGTTACATTTTCCCTATTCATGCTGTATCGATGATTTTTGGGGTTAAAGGGTTATTTTTCGTCCTGAATCTAACTACGTTTTCAGTTTTTTTGTTACCGGCACGGGAGCCGCAGAAAATTGAAATTTAGGGGGTGGCGCACCGCACTGTACCGATCCGATCCACCTAACCACTCTAATTTATTTCCCCAAAACGAAAAAACAAACGAACAACACTCCAATCACATCTAAATACAAATATTCTCTATACGATAACTCCATTCCTTTTCGTTTAAAAGTCGGATATTCAGATCCTTTTTTGAGAGATCGATTTATTGCCCAAGTGGCCAAATCAAGAGATTTAATTGGTCGATCCAAGAAAAGTGAACGGAAACGAGTCATCGCTTGTTTATAGCTTTCAGCTAAAGATCTTTTTCTTGTTTTCTTGTTTTCTTCTGTTTTTCTTACTTGTTGCCGTTTTTAAAGCTTTTCGAAGAATCTCCGGCGTCAACTTGTCCTTTTCCAAGGTGAAGCCAAAGCCTGAAAATGAAATTGAATGAAATGATGAAGATTTTGCTTGGTTTGGCATACTTCTAAGTATCCAGCTAGTCCATAAACTAGATAGTTTCTGTTACAGTAACCAAATTAGCTTTTAAAGATTGAGTTACTCTAGCAGCAAAGTCAAGCAAGCAAGCAAAGTCAATTTGGGAACAAGACCCCGTGGATTCGAGTCCTCTGTCTATATAAGGCACGTTGTCACGATAAGTTAACAGCATTCCCTAGTTAGACTTGGATTCTCTTTCCAAGTCTTTCCCTCAGGGTCCAAAAGGGCGTACGCCCGACAGACACGCGCACTAACCACTACACCACTGAGGCCGTTGACTGAAGAAGAAGTGTGCCGCCCTCCAGCGCTCAAAGAGACCCCAAAAACTTGTATGCCAAATATCTCGCGATAGAGAAGCGTTTGGCAAAAACTGATTCCAGGCTCGGAATCAGCGTGAAAAACTGCATCAGATAGGCTATTTTCTGAGGCAAAACCATGATAAGTTAACAACATTCTTTAGTAAGAACTTTCCAGGTTGGAAAGCTAAACCGTTGCTGTCAGCGCACAGACTCTGGTGAATGGCCATCGAACTAGCCTGATCTCAACCCTCTCCATTATTCTATTTGGTTCATTCTGGTTCAAAGGCTTTTGCTAAATCCCACACATCAAGCGCTTTAAAGCACGACTCGATTTCTTTGACTACAATTTAAAACAATGATCTGTTGAGCAACGATCTGTTGTGCAAGGTCTGTTGTACAAAGATCTGTTGTCCAACAATTTGTTCACCTGCTTGTCGACACATCTCCGCGTTCAGCGTCTGTTCGGCCAAAATCGGCATGAACACCACAGGAACTCCCGCACAAATCGTGTCTTTTACACTAAAATCAACTAATTGGCTAAGACATTGACTTGTCAACTGAAAAAAATGATCAAAAACATTGCTAAAACCAGCTTTAACCCTCACCTCTTCATTCCACCATGTGACACGAAAGCGACAGTCTTTGGATGAATGAGAATCTCCTTTTGTGGAGCCCATTTTGTGATCCGAACATGAGATTTCACGTCTTTCACATGTTCAGCATCACCAGTGTACGTCCAAATGATTCTGAATTGAGTAAACACAGGCTTTATTTACCGAAATTTGGCTTTATCTACCGAAATTCGGTTAAATCGTTCACAGCGTCAACAAAGGTTTTTATCGTTTCAATTGGAGCGAACTCCCATTTCACATTCGTTCCAAAAGCGATCAGAATTGTTCCCTAGAATAACTGGAATGTTTGAATTGTTCCCTAGAATAACTGGAATCTTTGAAGAGTGAAAGTCGAATTGTGAAAGTTCACCTGTGATCCTGGATGGTTCACATGCTCCAAATAGTCTCCTTTAAGCTCACCAAACTTGGGACAATGAAAACCAACATGAAGAGTCTCTGTACCAACTGAAAAATGATTTATCGTTATTTTAAGAGAAAATTTTCCCATTTTCCCATCTTCCCATCTCCCCATCTTCCCATCTTCTCATCTTCCCATCTTCCCATCTTCCCATCTTCCCATCTTCCCATCTTCCCATCTTCCCATTTTCCCATATTCCCATTTTCCCATCTTCCCATCTTCCCATTTTCCCATTTTCCCATCTTCCCATCTTCCCATCTTCCCATTTTCCCATCTTCCCATCTTCCCATCTTCCCATCTTCCCATCTTCCCATCTTCCCATTTCCCATCTTCCCATCTTCCCATCTTCCCATCTTCCCATCTTCCCATCTTCCCATCTTCCCATCTTCCCATCTCCCCATCTTCCCATCTCCCCATCTTCCCATCTCCCCATTTTCCCTAATACAGTGCGTTTAAAAGTGCTCCACCTAAGAAAAGTGCTTTATCTTAAGTTAGAAGCATTTTAGAGCTCTAGTTCTTTTTTTTATTAAACAGAGCACTTTTAAATTTTTTATTCGTTTAAGAATTGTGCGATTACTATGGCTACTGATAGCTTGAAAGATGATTTCATTCACTGTTTCAAAAATGAAGAGTCGATTCCTGAAGGTACAAAACTTCTCGCAACTTGAACAATCGATTAATCGAATAAAGGATAAACTGATTTTGGATTCGATGGAAATAACGATTCTAGTGATCTTTCTGTTTTTGATTTTTTGTGAAAAATGAAGGGCTGATTCCCTAGAACAATTGGAAATAGCTGGTTGAATTAAAGTTTAACCCCGGGTGGTTCACATGCTCTAAGTAATCTCTCACTCTGAGTGGATTGAGTGAAATGAGCTGCCAAAAAAATCTGATCATTCACTCGTTCGAGAATTGTGCGATTACTATGGCTACTGCTACTACTATGAAAGATGGTTTCATGAGTGTTTCAAAAATTGGAACCAAATTGGATGTTTCATTACTATTCGGCTCCCTTTTGATTCATATTTGGTTCCAATTCAGTTCCTATTTGGTTCCTATTTGGTTCCTATTTGGTTCCTATTTGGTTCCTGTTTATTTCTATCGGTTCTTATTTGGTTCCAATTCAGTTCCAATTCAGCTCCAATTCAGTTCCTATTTGGTTCCTATTTGGTTCATATTCAGTTACTATTTGGCTTCTATTTGGTTCTTATATGGTTCCTGTTTATTTCTGTCGGTTTTGATTTGGTTCTTATTTGGTTCCAATTCAGCTCCAATTCAGTTCCAATTCAGTTCCTATTTGGTTCCTATTTGGTTCCTATTTGGTTCCTGTTTATTTCTATCGGTTCTTATTTGGTTCCAATTCAGTTCCAATTCAGCTCCAATTCAGTTCCAATTCAGTTCCTATTTGGTTCCTATTTGGTTCCAATTCAGCTCCAATTCAGTTCCAATTCAGTTCTTATTTGGTTCTTATTTGGTTCCTGTTTTATTTCTCTCGGTTTTGATTTGGTCCCAATTTGGTTCCTATTTGGTTCCAATTCAGTTCCTATTTGATTCCTATTTGATTTCTATTTGGTTCATATTTGGTTCCCATCTCGTTCCTATTTGGTTTCAATTCAGGTTTCAAAAACGAAGAGTCGATTGCTGAAGGAGCAAAACTTTGTCGATGGGCCAGTGATGAAAGGTTATATGCTGGATGAGTCAGATCAGAGTCAGGCTTGATTTCTAGCTGTCAGGGATCTTCTGTGGACTTTCTGTGAAGCCAGATAGGTTCAACCATTACTGTTCTCTGGTAATAGACTCATGCACTAGACTCATGGTAATAGACTTTGTGATGATAATCTCTGAATGCGTGCAATGATCTAAATTGATACAAATGCTCCACATAGCTCTGGTACTCATCGTAAATTCGACACGAGTTCTTGAAAAGGACTATGAATGAATGAAAAACAAAACTTATGGCTTTTCTTAGAATGATTAAGGTAGATTTTCTCTCACCTGGTTGCGGAAAGTTGAACATTGTCAGCTCCTCATACAAATAGAATGAAGCCTTCTTCGCCACTTCAGCCATTTGAAGCCCGTCGAGGCCCAAATGTTTCACTCCATTTTGAGCATGGAAATGGATATTCAGGTGAACAAGAATAAAATCGGCTACTAAACAAAATTTTTTTCAAGTTTTAAAGTATGTTTCTTACATGATTCTCTGAAAGTGTTCACGCGGCTCCAAAAGCTTTTCGGCTCAAAGCGAGCGCTTGGAATTGAGAAATAGGCCGGACGACCGATGAAGTTGTTTCCTAAAATAGTGTAGTCTGTCTGTACTTCCGAAAATAGCACGATTTTATCAGCTTTCAAATTTCTAGAGCCTACGGAAGTATTCTATGCCCAAAGTTACAGCTAAACCACCTAGCACAGGTCTACAACTTGTTTAGAGATCATATTATTGTTAACTTTTTAAATCGTTGAATAGAAGACAAAGAATATCTTCTTTTATATCATTTATAAAGCAAAAGAAAAACCAACTGAGCCAATTTTCCCGTTTTTGGGCTTCGCCATGCGCAAATTTTTGGTTATCGTACATTTGGTAGGCTTCCCACGCCTTTGCCATTGGCAATCTAACTTTGAGCTCAAATATCTTGCTATTGGGCTGTTCAATTTAAATACTTTTGGTATCATTGGATGCGCCTAGTCTTTCTCCGTCGATTGGTACAAAAACTATTTAAATTGAACAACCCAACACCGAGAGATTTGAGCTTAAAGTTGGATTGTAAATGGGAAAGGGAACGGGACCTTGTGGGACCTTTTATAGACGCCCCGCCCCGGCAATCGAATGAGATCAAGAGGATTTAAATGGAACAGCCCAACATCAAGATATTTCAGCTCAAAGTTAGATTGCCAATGGGAAAAGGGGCGGAGCGTGTATAAAAGGTCCGTCGCCCCGCCCCTTTTGTCATTGGCCATAACTTTGAGCTCAAATTTCTTGGCGTTGGGTGGTCCAATTTAGTTAGTTTTTGTACCAATCGACAGAGAAAGACTTGGCGGATCCAATGATACCAAAAGTATTTAAATTGAACAGCCCAATAGCAAGATATTTGAGCTTAAAGTTGGATTGCCAATGGCGCATATCAAATATCCCAGAATCCAAATTTTTGAGACTTATTCCTTTAAATTTCGCCTATTTTTCGACAAGTTCTACATTTTATTAAAAAATGAATTAATCAAACAGTTTCGAAATTGAAAGAACGATTCGATTCGACTTGAAACACTTAGTTTGTTTATTTTTGACTGAAAATAGTTGAAAGACGTTAACTTTGCTAAATTCTATAGAATCTCTTTGTGTAAAGGTTTTAAATAACTCACCTAAAGCCAAGTGATGCGTCATGACATGAGTGCTTGCACACGAAGCTATCGTCACGTATGGAATTCCTGAAGTTGAGGAATTTGCTGTTTAATGCAAGTAAGCCGGAAGCCGACAATAAGCCGGAATCTTTTAAAAACGCAGTTAGCTGAATTGTTAGCTGAATTGTTAGCTGAATTGTTAGCTGAATTGTTAGCTCAATTGTTAGCTGGATTGTTAGCTGGATTGTTCGCTCAATTGTTAGCAATTGAGCTAACAATTGAGCTGAATTGTTAGCTCAATTGTTAGCTGAATTGTTAGCTGAATTGTTAACTGAATACTTTTTCAAGACATACAGAATTCGACTGGTAACCTTTAATTCAACAGGTTACTTTAATTCCCTTAAAGTAATCTCTAAAGCCTTGATCACCTTCAGCTTTCCTCTTCAACGCCAATCCAAATCCGAGGATAGAGAACAACTCGTCGATCACCAGTAAATCGAAATCTTTCTCTAAAAACTTATTCATCTAAAAAAGGGTTTAAATTCTTTTCCTTTTTCTAAACCTCTTCTTTATGTTCAATAAAGCATTTTTGTAGAGCCATCTCGCCAACCATATAAATTGACGCAAAGGTTGACGCTCCAAAATAATGACTCCAAACGGCGCGCAAAACTTCTGTATAAGAAACATCGCCTAAAAATAGTTAAAGTATTTGAGGAAATGAATCCCTACAGAAAGTTTGTACAAAATAAGTTACATTATTGAATTTTGATGTCTCTTGCTTGTTTTAGCTTGCTTTTAAAGTTTCTAGGTCAACCAAATCTACGCTAAAACTATTACTTGATTGAGCCAGGTCAGATGTTAGGTTAAAATCGAGCTTCTGGATTGAGCCAGGTCAGATCTTAGATTAAAATCGAGCTTCTGGTAGAGCCAGGGGAGATGTTAGGTTAAGATCGAGCTTCTACTAGAGCCAGGTCAGATCCTAGGTTAAGATCGAGCTTCTACTAGAGCCAGGTCAGATCTTAGGTTAAAATCGAGCTTCTACTATAGCCAGGTCAGATCCTAGGTTAAGATCGAGCTTCTACTAGAGCCAGCTCCGATCTTAGGTTAAGATCGAGCTTCTGGTAGAGCCAGGGGAGATCTTAGGTTAAAACCGAGCTTCTACTAAAGCCAGGTCAGATTTTAGGTTAAAATCGAGCTTTTGGTAGAGCCAGGTCAGATTTTAGGTTAAAATCGAGCTTCTACTAGAGCCAGGTCAGAGCTTAGATTAAAATCGAGCTTCTACTAGAGCCAGGTCTAGCCAGGTCAATTCAATAAAGCCTAAGTCAACTCAAAAGCAGAAAGATTAAGCCAAAAGCCCAACCAGACCTGAAGCAAGCTCTTAACCTAACTTCTGGTCTTGTTTTATCTGATTTACTTTAAAAAAATAGATGCCTTGGCATAAAAAATCTGCCTTGGCAATGTTTTTAACCCAGATTTTAAGCCAAAATCTCTCCTCTTGCCATACATTTCTTTCCAAATACCGAATACTCAAAAAGCTTTAGGTTCTTCAAGAATAAAAACCGTGTTTAGAGATCTCAATGGACTCTCTCCATTCGTTTTCCCATGAGGATCACTTCTGAAGTCAGAAAATCTCCGTAAAAAACCCTCTTCAACCTTTAGAATGACTGAAAGACGTGGGCGCATCACATCAGAAAACTCTTTTTTTTTGTTTTTTCATAAGGCTAATGTTTTGGAGTTTCTTCTGGACTTTGCAAAACTTTTATGAGTTCAAAAATTAGGTCAAAACCTTACTTTTTAGATGCTTTTGAGTTTGGATAAAGGTTTTTTTGACTTATTAAATTCGATTGCTCAAATATTAAGCTTTATAAAGCTACAGTAAGCTTGTCGGTTTGTCGTAAGCCGGTCAGTCGGTCGACAGCATAAATAGAAACACTTAATTTGCAGCACTGTAGCATAGAGCACTTAATTTGCAGCACTGTAGCATAAAGTCGATTTGAAACCGACTCCAGAACTGGTCCAGCTATCTGTGGGGAAATCTAGATCACGTGGAATAAGCCTTGTCTGTCCTAGTCCGTAAAAATTGCCTTTGTATTCAACATAATGCACTGATTTTTTTTCAATCAGGTTAAACTAGGCAAAATTAGATCAGAAGAGATCGGTTATCAGACATCTGATACGCCTGCCCCTTTTGCCATTGGCAATCTAACTTTGAGCTCAAATCTCTTGGTGTTGGGCTGTCCAATTTTAAATTTCTTAATGTCATTAGATGCGCCAAGATTTTCTCTGTCGATTGGTACAAAAACGGCTTGAATTGAACGGGCAAACACCGAGGAATTTGAGCTCAAAGTTAGATTGCCAATGGCAAAGGGGCCGGGGCGTGTATAAAAGGTCCGGGGCGTGTATAAAAGGTCCATCACCCGTCAAGTCTTTCTATGTCGATTGGTAGAAAAGAATATTAAAATTGTACAGTCCAACACCAAGGGATTTGAGCCCAAAGTTGGATTGCTAATGGCAAAGAAGGGCCGTATATAAGGTCCGTCGCCCCGCCCCCTTTGCCATTGAGAATCCAACTTTAAACTCAAATATCTTGGTGTTGAGCTGTTCAATTTAAATAGTTTTTGTACCAATCAACAGAGAAAGACTTGGCGCATCTAATGATATCAAGAACACTTAAATTGGACAGCTCAACACCGAGAAATTTGGGCTCAAAGTTGGATTGTCAATGGCTAAAGGCGCGGGGCTCACAAATCTCCCACAATCGACCGCCTTGTGGCTCAATGTCAGCTTTTTGCGGCCAAACAAATAAAACCAGGCTAAGCTGGAAACTAGGCCTGGTTTTGATCATGTTCTCTCTTCAAAAACAAATCCCTTTCTTTTCATGCAAGTTCCCAAAATGATTCCTGAAAAATTCCAAAATTTGAACGAATCAAACCCCACATTTTCTCAAGGATCTTGTTGATTTCAAGAAAATCTTTTATAAGCTGGATAACTCAATTTTCACGACGAGATCTTTACAACAAAAAAAAAGCGCTTTTCAACAATTTAATGAACTTTTCTCCTTTTCTATCTTCCTTTTCTTTCTTCCTTTTCTTTCATCCTTCCCTTCCTTTCCTTTCTTCCTTTTCTTTCTTCCTTTTCCTTTTCTTTCTTCCTTTTCTTTCTTCCTTCCCTTCCTTTTCTTTTCAATCACTTTTCAATGACCACCTCAACAAGGGTATTTACCTGAAAATTTTCAATTTTTCAAGAAATTTTGAAAATTTAATTTAATAGAAAGGTGTCTGAAGATGTTAAAAACAAATTTTTCAAAAAATCGGGGAGTGGGACAAATGCGACCTTTTGTTTGCGCACTCGGACATTTGCGCACCTTTTTTTCCGCACTTAGCCCATTAGCGCACCTTTTTTCGCGTTTTAAAAGAGCTTAAAAAGCTAAAAAAGCTAAAAAAGCTCTAAAAAGCTAATATTAACCAATTTCTATTCCAAAAGTCGTTTTTCTAGGTAATTTTAGGGCGTGGAATCGAAATTTTGACATATCAGAGCTTGTGGAACCAGACAAAACGACAAAACGTTTTGTCTTTGAAAGACAAAACGGCTAGATCAAATTACAGAAAATTGTCGATTTTTCTCTTTGTATAACTCCGTCCGTTCGCTTCCACAAGCTCTGATATGCCAAAATTTCGATTCTACGCCCTAAAATTACCTAGAAAAACGACTTTTGGAATAGAAATTGATTAATATTAGCTTTTTAGAGCTTTTTTAACTTTTTTAGCTTTTTAAGCTCTTTTAAAACGCGAAAAAAGGTGCGCTAATGGTGCGGAAAAAACCCCCGGTGCGCAAACAAAAGGTCGCATTTGTCCCACTCCCAAAAATCGCACAAAAATTGAGTGAATTTCTAGAAATTTTGACATTTCCAAAGTTTTTTGCACTTTAATTTAAATTATAAATTAATAGCCGTTGTAGCCAACCGGATAGGTTGTCTCCTAGTCGGGGGGTTAAGGGTTCGATCCCGGCGGCTAGAAAGATTGGCTCTTTTCCCCATTATTATGGGCCTTTTCTTCACAACATTTAGGCAATAAGGGTAATTAGGGGTAAAAATCTCCTCCGTTGTGTTGTAATTCATTATTCGTGTCGAATAAATATACATACATACATAAATTCCTTTTTTCTTTGAAAGCCTACAATTTTCGATGAGTGGGCGTTCAAAGAACTCGAAAAATTCCATTGTTGCATTTTTTCTCTGATTCTTTTTCGAGAAATTCTTTTTCTGAGTTTCAATTACCCAATTCCCAAGGCTCAAAATGGGCTTGAGATTTCCATTTTTGGATTTAAACGAAAAGATTTTAAAGTTTCTGACTTTGACCTTCTTATTTTACCTCAAACGTCATAAATTTTGGATTTTTGCAAATTTGAAACTTTTTCCTTGTCGATGTGCTCATTTTGAGTTCATTTTTGTATTGCTTTTTTTTCATTTTATATTTCTCTTGGTTTGTCTGATGTTTTGAATAAAATTTGTTTGAAATTCTATTATAAATTTTGCTAACAAGTAGCGCCTCCTTTTTCCATTGGTAATCCAACTTTGAGCTCAAATTTCTCGGTGTTGGGCTCTTTAATTTTAACATTCTTGGTGTCATTGGATCCGGCAAGTCTTTCTCCGTCGATTGGTAGAAAAACTATCTGAATTGGACCATCGAACACCAAGATATTTGAGTTTAAAGTTGGATTGCCAATGGCAAAGGGGGCGGGCCGCGTATAAAAGGTCCATCGCCCGTCAAGTCTTTCTCTGTCGATTGGTACAAAAGAATATTAAAATTGTACAGTTCAACACCAAGGGATTTGAGCCCAAAGTTAGATTGTTACTGGCAAAAGGGGCGGGGCGTGTATAAAAGGTCCGTCGCCGAGCCCCTTTTGCCATTGACAATCCAACTTTAAACTCAAATATCTTGGTGTTGAGCTGTTCAATTTAAATAGTTTTTGTACCAATCAACAGAGAAAGACTTGGCGCATCTAGTGATATCAAGAACACTTAAATTGGACAGCCCAACACCGAGAAATTTGGGCTCAAAGTTGGATTGCCAATGGCAAAAGGGGGCAGGGCGTCTGATAACCATTTATCTCACTAAAGTATCTCAGAAAAATGAATCAAGCGATAAAATTGTTGTTCTTTGGCAGATTGATGAAGATATTTAAGCTTACTTCCCGTATTTTTATGTGATTTTAGTTCGAGTACTTCTAGTAAAAGTAGTCTAGTACTTTTACTTCTAGTACTTCTAGTAAAAGTACTTCTTCTTAACGATTCTATTCTTTAACTAATTCTTTCCAATAATTCAAACGAACTTTTCAGCTGAATATACGTGTGATTGATGCCGGCTGGATAGTTGTAACTCTCCGGTTTCTCGTGTGTTTCGAGAAATTCAATGTAGTGACCCTCTTGATGCCATCTAAAACAATAAAACCATCTTTTTTTTGATATTTTGGCCTCTTTCGCTTTACTTTACATAATATAAATTTATTTGCATTTATTAAATGGCCCAGAAAGGCCCAGAAAGAGGCCCAGAAAGAGGCCCAGTCTTTTCACTTTGCCCAAACTCTACAACCAAAGCTACCAAGCTTTATCATTAAACTTATAGTTAAAATTAAAGATCAACATCTTAAACAACGGCATAACTTTTTATTTTGAGAAGTTTTGATAAAAGAAAAGCTGAATTTAAAGTCAAATTTGATGTTTTTTTTCGAATTATTACTCTTTTTCTCTCTATTTTGAAGAAATTTGAATGAATTGCATAGAAAGTTCGATATTTTTTTTGTACCTTTGCGCAAAAGGCATACTGCTTGCAATGTGTGAGTCGGAGGCGTGCATTCCTTGGAAAACGATTCGTTTTTGCGGCTTCTTTAAAGTCTCCAACTTTTCACAAGCCATCTAAACGATTTTGTGCACTAGAAAACACTTTAAGCGTGAATACATTCTTCCCACCAAAGCTTAAAGATCAGTCAATTGCTCAATTCGTTGAGCCAATTGCTCAATACGGTATTTTTGCAAAGTTAGATAAGCTAGCTACAAGTAGAGCGTGTTCCTAGCTACAAGTAGAATGTGAGTAAGTAATTACTCGAGTAAAATTCGCATGAGTAATCTTTACTCGATTAATCGGCGCTTTTAGTTGAGTAACTACGAGTAAAATCCTCTTTACAGTAAATTGAATATCTTTACATTTGAAGAGAATTTGCCACCAAATCATTTGAATGGTTGAATTCATTTAAAAGGCGTATATAAGGCGTATATAAGACGGCGTATATAAGACGGCGTATATAAGGCGGGCGTATATAAGGCGGCGTATATAAGGCAGCGTATATAAGGCGGCGTATATAAGGCGGCGTATATAAGGCGGCGTATATAAGGCGACGTATATAAGGCGGCGTATATAAGGCGGCGTATATAAGGCGGCGTATATAAGACGGCGTATATAAGACGGCGTATATAAGACGGCGTATGTAAGACGGCGTATGTAAGGCGACGTATATAAGAATAGCCCCTAGCTACAAGAATAGCTCTAGCTACAAGAATAGCTCTAGCTACAAGAATAGCTCTAGCTACAAGAATAAGGGTAATTAAAAAGCATTTAACTATTTATAACTTACATCATCCACAAAGAATAATAAAAGAAACAAATAAAGCTTCATTTTTTTGCTTCACTTCAAAGTCGAGCAGAGAAAGAATAACAAAATGAGGTGAAAACCGCACTCGTCTCATTCAATTTCCCTTATCAGTTCACTCACACCGATTGCCAGACTCTACACCACAAAATAAAGATCAAAACTACAAAGGATAGCTCAGTTTATTTGGCAAAAATAATGTTTTTTTATCTGAGACGAATCAACATCAATAATCAAGTTGATAGGAGTTTTTGTAAACAAATAGGATGGCTGTATTGAGCAATTGGCTCAACGTATTGAGCTTTAACTGATCTTTAAGCTTTGGTGGGAACAATGTATTCACGCTTAAAGTGTTTTCTATCATTGTCTAAAGAAGTGCGCCTTTTTTTAATTTATTTATTGAAAAAAGTCGCAAAGATTAATTGGTAAGGTATTCTTCATTTTTATCGATGACTTCTTCCCATCTTCTGCGAAAATCCCGGATCGCATTGTCGAATTCAAACGATTCCTTGGAGGTAAAATAGTCGTGGAGCTTATTTATGACTTGATTATCAAACTGTACATCTCCCACGAAGTGTTTCAACGTCCAAAGTAAAAAAAATCTGACGGTGCATCTTGACGCCTTCCCAAAACGCCTGCGAGCCTGCTCAAATGCTAATGGTGGTCGAATTTGATAGTTCATTTGATAGAAGCCACACCAGTCGGCAAATGGTAAAGAAGATGGCGATTTCAAGCACCGCATTGCGTTGAATCCTCAAAAATAAGCTTAAACTTATTGCTTACAAGAAAAACAAGACTCAACTTCTTTCAAATGTCGCTAAAAACAAGCGAAAGTTGAGAGCAGATTCAATGGAATCGACCATCATAATACCTTATTCACAGATGAAAAGATATTTACCGTTGAAGGCCTTCTTAACAAGCAAAATGATCGAGTATGGGCCAAATCTCAACCGAATGCTACGGTTTCTCAAAGTGCATATCCAGCTTCGAAGTGTGGGAAGAGCTCGATTCAGCCTATTTGGTCGCCACCGTTCACGCCTTCCCGAAACGTCTGCTCAAGTGCTCAAATGCTAATGGTGACCGATTCGAATTTGATAGTTCATTTATAATTGTTAACGTACAATCAACGTTATTCAGTTAAAAATCTATCTTTCTTTGTTCTTGTCTGTCTTAAAATCAGAAATCTATCTTGTTGCGAGAATTATGGCGCACCCTGTAGATTAATCAAGAGATTAGATATAATTACATACATAGATCGGTGGCGATAGGCTGGATCGAGCTCTTCCCACGCTTTCAACAGCGATTTCTTCAAGCTTTTAAGCTTTTATAGACTTTCCACCTGTTCTACAATGATTTGATCGATAGAATAATATATAGATGCTAGATTAGATAAATCTGAGCCCCACAAAAACATCGAAAGCTTGAAGAAATCGCTTTTGAAAGCGTGGGAAGAGCTCGATCCAGCCTATCGCCACCGTTGACGCCTCCCCGAAACGCCTGCGAGCCTGCTCAAATGCTAATGGTGGCCGATTCGAATTTGATAGTTCATTTATAATTGTTAACGTACAATCAACGTTATTCAGTTAAAAATCTATCTTTCTTTGTTCTTGTCTGCCTTAAAATCAGAAATCTATCTTGTTGCGAGAATTATGGCGCACCATGTAGATTAATCAAGAGATTAGATATAATTACATACATAGATCTGTATTTTCAAGCTTTTATAGATTTTCCACCTGTTCTACAATGATTTGATCGATAGATACCCTGCACCTGTACCCTGCACCTGTACCCTGCACCTGTACCCTGCACCTGTACCCTGCACCTGTACCCTGCACCAATCCAAGTCTAGTAGCTCAGTCTTAGGTTTTTCAGTAATTTTAATAGTTTATCACCGAAAAAGCAACTTTTCTAGTTTATACTTTCCAAAGCATCAATTTAAAACCATCAAAGCATTCATTCTTTCACTAATAATACCCAAATTTGGCGATGTTGACATTTCGAATGAAAAAAAATTCGCTTCCTCAATTACTCAACACCAATTTTTCCTCCTAGGCATTTATGTTTTCAAAAATTCTGATGAAATTCGTTTCTTGGTCTCAGTTTTTTTTCCTTTTCTTCACTAATTAAAGTACTCTCCCGTAGTGATCAAAGCTCGGTTATGATCTCGCAAAAAATTTCGTTCCTTATTGCATTTTTTTAAAAGTTTCTTATTGGAATTTTTATCCAGAATTGGTCTTTTTCTAATCAAATATTTCGTTTTTCAGTTTAACGACGATTTGCTTTAAATCCCTTTTGTAATTACATATATTTTTAGCTTTAACTAGCGCTTAAAATGATTGAAAAGTGGCGAAAAAAAAGCGGATTTTTGCCAATTTTTGCCACTTTTCAGTCATCTTTTTCTAAGCACAGATTAATGCTAAAAATCTGTGTTATATCTCAAAAAATCACCCATTTTCTCTACTTTAATTTGATACTTTAACATAACGAAACAAACGTACTGGTGTCGAGATATGAGCGTTTGTTTGAGAGTAAACTTAGACGACGCGACGCTCCTTAAGCGGGAGACAGACCCCAGATTTCAGTCATTTTCAGTCATCTTTTTCTAAGCGCTGGTTAGAGCTAAAAATACACGTAATATCTCAAAAAATCATCCATCCTCTCTACTTTAATTTGATACTTTAACATAAAGAAACAAACGTACTGGTGTCGAGATATGAGCGTTTCTTTGGGAGCAAACTTAGACTACGTGACGCTCCTTTAGGCGGGCGGGCTTAGGCCTTTTTTAAAGGATTTTGGTTCCTTAATGGTTTTTAAATCGATGAAAAATCGAGACTTTTCCCTTCTCTTCTTGTATCAGTTCAAGCTTGGCCACAATGCGTCAAAAGCCACCCAAAACATCGATCAAGCTTTTGGGAAAAGCAAAGCTGAAGCTCGAGCAGTTCAGTGCTGGTTCAAACGATTCCGAGAAAGTGATGAGGATCTTAATGACAAGGAAGACCGTGGACGCCATGTTAGTCTTGACAATGACGAATTAAAGGAGCTGGTAGAAAGGGATCCCAGAACAACTGAGACAGAATTAGTAACGCACTTTGGGATCACAGGCAATTGGGAAGAATCTCAAGGAAATCGGAAAAGTAAAAAAGTTAGAAAAGTGGGTGCCTCATCAGTTGAACGAATATCAAAAATTGCACCGTTGCCTCACATCGTATCCATTGCTGATTCGTAATCAAGAGGAGCTATTTCTGGATCGAATTGTAACTTGTGATGAAAAATGGGTCCTCTACGATAACCGAAAACGCAAAGCTGAATGGCTAGATAAAGGACAATCACCGAACCCCTTTCCAAAGCCCGACCTACACCCAAAGAAGCTTCTTCTCAGTGTTTGGTCGTCGCAGAAAGGTCTGATCCATTATTCAATTTTACCAAACGAAAAACCGATGAATTCTGATCAGTATACGAAATAAACGAAATGTATGAAAAATTTTGAAGAATCGATCCAGCTCCAGTTTTGCTTTTTTGCTCCAGTGAATCGGAAGAGTCCGATCCTATTGCAGCATAACGCCCGCTCGCATTGTTCACTGAAGACTCTTCGAAAATTGAACGAGCTGCACATTGAAATCCCCCCTCATGCTCCGACATACACCCAAGGAAGCTTCTTCTCAGTGTTTGGTCACTGTCAAAAGGAGCCATTTCTGAATCGAATTAATTAACTTGTGATGAAAAATGGGTCCTCTACGATAACCGAAAACGCAGACTTTTCCCTTCTCTTCTTGTATGAGTTCAAGCTTGGCCACAATGCGTCAAAAGCGACCCAAAACATCGATCAAGCTTTTGGGAAAAGCAAAGCTGAAGCTCGAGCAGTTCAGTGCTGGTTCGATTCGCTTTAAATCCCTTTTGTAATTACATATATTTTTAGCTTTAACCAGCGCTTAAAAAAATGATTGAAAAGTGGCGAAAAAACGCCGATTTTTGCCGGTCCAGCGCTCGTTTCCAGAGCGAGACCTCGCAGGTTCGCTCCTCCCTTGGATTCTTCAACAAAAACTTTTCTATTTTGCTGTAGTGCAACTCCTGGGAGATTGTCATTTAGCAAAAACGGAATACATATTCGGAATCAGCATCAAATTCTGTGTCGAATGGTCTATGCCTCATATCATTTGGCCAGTCCATCCAGTTGGCCTTCTGTTGTAAGTTTGCACTCAAAGAATCGCTCATATCTCGGCGCTCAGAAACTTGTTTCTGCGCGCTTAGCTATCAAATTAAAGTAGAAATAATAGGGAATTTTTTAGCGCTATTAGATGTATTTTTATCTTTAACCGGCGCTTAAAAAAATGACTGAAAAGTGGCCAAAAAAAAAGGCCGATTTTTGCCACTTTTCAATCATCTTTTTCTAAGCACAGAATAATGTTAAAAAACTGTGTTATATCTCAAAAAATCACCCATTTTCTCTACTTTAATTTGATATCTGTGCGTGTAGAATCAAATGTCTGCGCGCCGAGATATGAGTGATTCTTGGAGTGTAAACTTACAAGGGAAGATCAACTGGTTGAGCCGGTGAAATGCTATGAGCCATAGACCATTCGACGCAGAATTTGATGCTGATTCCGAAATCTGTTTTCCATTTTTGCTAAATGACAAGCTGCCAGGAGTTATAAGCGTTTTTCTCCAAAATTCTCTCCAAACTTCTCTCCAAAATTCTCCAAAACTTTCAAAAACATTCGTACATTAAATATTTTTGTACATTAAATATCTCTCAATTTTTCCCCTCAATTTCCTCTTCATGTTTGGGTTTTAAAAACGACTTTGCTTAGTTGAAACATTAGAAATTCTATTGAGGAAAATCGGGAAAATCGGGAAAATTTTTGTATAAACGAAAAAATTCGGTTTGATTTTGTTAAAACTTAAGAAAAGTAATGAATTTTGATGAAAAATGGGGGATTTTTGTGGAAATCAATGATCAAAAGAGTTCAAAGTAGAATAAATTTCTTAAGATAATCTCTTTAAGTCTCTCTGAAGATCAGAAATTTCTT